CGGCCGACAATCCAGACCAGTGAGAATGGCAAATTCTCTTAACGAAAAACGGAATGGCTGACCGGCAAAAATAAACCATAGCTCGTGTTTTTTCCTTGTGTAGACGCCTCTACACAACATCTGATGTACTAATTTGCCGGAAAACGAACATTTGCGGACAGGAAGCTGAAACAGCGGGCCAAAGCATGAGGCGCGGAGATAATTTAACTCTTTCGTCCCTTCTAGGATTTCGACGAGATCGAGCAGATACTCCGGCTTTGAATAAGCATTAATACGTCCGAGAGGCGGATAGCAGTCAGTGGCGTAGAGCCTTTTCGGAAGTTTGTCCCTAATTACTACCGGGATCTCCGGTCGCGGCTGATATGGAGAATTTGAGTGGGTCGCGGTTGACTTGGCGGAGACAAAAGGGTCGTCGTCGTCTTCAAAGGAAACCGGGCGCCTGGAACTTCCAAGCGGAGACTTTTGTTTCAATTTACTGGAGGAGGACTTCATCTGCGGCGGAGGAGAGAAAACAGAAGAAAAAATTAAGAATTTCTTTGAAAATCGAACAGTGGAAAAGGAGCATGCAGATGGACAGAAACCCTAGAAATTGGGGACGACACGATTAAGTCAAATTAGATGACTACGAACCAATAATTAGATGACTACAAACTAACTTGTGATTAATCAAGTATGAGGGACAAAATCGAGTGTCAGTTACATTCAAAGAATCTGCCGAAAATGGTTTACCGTAACTAACTTCCGATGAGAGGAGAAGGAGAAGAAAGAGAAAGGGAAAGTGAATGAGAGACGAAAGCGGTTACACTTCTCGCAGGGGAGAGAAGTTTGTGGGGTGTAATTTTGCACGGGTCTCGAGGGTTAATAGGGAAACGAGAAGGTGCGAATGTCAACTCGTTGCCAGGCGCAGGCGGGAACTGTCTGTGAGGGCAAAATTGACAATTCACAGACAAATGTGGTATGAGTTGAAAGATGGAGAAGAATGTGGTAGATCTTGAAACAAATAGGGAAAATGTGGTAGATCTTGTAATTTTTTCAATATGTATCCTCCAACCTCAATATTACATATTTTTATAATTTATTTGATTGAGAAAAATATACTCAATGCAACTAGTTGAAATGATCCAACTGAACATAACTTGTTACACCCACTAGTTACATTTGAAATAAAAGTAAATTTTAGACAAAGCCTGAAGAATTAATTTCTTAAAAACACATTAAACCAGTGGAAGTCCCCTTGGCCCATTGGTTGACCAAAGGTTGATTAATGCTTCTGCACTAAGAGTTCTGGGGTTCGAGTCCCAGATATTGCGATTTATTAACAAATTTGCAGATTAATTGAGGCAAGTGTGCAGGAGATCTCCAGCGATGTACAATTATAGCTGTGCGCCAGGATTCTACGCAGAGAAGGAAGTGTCGCTAGGTCGTGGATCATTGAAAGTATTCATCAAGATCATGAAGAAAGAAGTGTAGTCTGTTGTGGATCTACTAAGGATCGGCAGAAATTGTCAGTTGTAGAATCGTCTATGTAACAGTTTTCATAATTTGTAATTAATAATAAATCTAGACGGTAAAAAAAAAACACACATTAAACCGTTAAACGTAATGAGTTGAATTTAATAATTTTGCACTAAGCAGCAAAAAATAAATAATAGTTATATCTTTAAAAAGAATCGTTGCCAATGAGCCAGAGCCAACCCAAACAAACTCCAGCGAAGATCCCTCCCAATAGAAACACACACATCAAATTCCCTAACGCATTTGCTTCGGGTCCCTATACAAATTTGATTGAACCACAAATCAACATAACCGGTAATATAAAACCAAATCGAACCGAGATTGACTATTGTAAGTAACTTACATTGTAACCCTTTGGTGCAGTGCTGAAGATACAAACGGTTAAATAACCGTTACTCAATCCCAAGAAAGAGGTGAGGAAAAGCATCCATCCTTGATCTGCGTATTTAGCGGTAAAGTAAAAGGCCGGGACGAGCAAGAAACGTGCCACAACGCAGACCGTGATCCATTTCCTCGACTCTAGTGCTAATCCTTTGATCGAGGGAATGAACCTTGAGATCGCATCCCACCCGTTATACATGGCTACTAGAACCGGTGCATACCTTAAGTTCAACACATCAAAACATAAATAGTAATATTTTTATGTAACTAACAAATATGAGAATGGAGTGGTTTGTTTATGTTAATGTTGCATACCAATCGCCCAATCGATGTTCTCCTGTGTTCTCGTAAAGAAATCCTGGGAAGATCGATAGTGTCACCACGTAAATCAAGGATAGATTTATTCCAAGATCTATGTTTTGCCGAAGTAACTGCTTCTTGGTTAGTTTTTGGATCTTGGACTCGTCCATTTGGTGAACCTTTTATGAGGATCAAAATTAAAGAGAGAGCTGAATTAGTGAAATAAAAAAAACCGTATCGGATATAAAATATAACCGGAAGGTACCTGTTCAGCTTGCTCTTGGAGGCCAGCTGCGGCCAGATCCGCAGAAACGGTTTTGGCTCCTTCTTTCGCAGCTTTGGTGCGGTAGTATTTCACGATAGGGAGTTTAGCAAAGACTAATGTATATAAAAAGACACAGGCTAACTCAATCAATGTTGCTATTCCTATGAACAACACTGCGGAAAAAAAAACACACATGATGGTTAAATTTAGCTTAATTAAATTGTATAATATATATGTAACAAAAGTTAAAATTTAAGAATTTGTTGGAGAGACATTACAAGCGCCTTTTCGAAGACCATCAGGCGATTTGTCGAAGATTGCTTTCGTAATAAGCCTTAATCCAGATGTTAGAGCTCCAGCTATGCCTAAACCAGCCATGAACGCCTGATAAAATAATCAAACATTTTAGCAAGTAACAACATAAAGTTAGATGGATATTACTATTGCAAAAAATAACAAGTTTTAACCTGGATGAAGTCGGGGCACATGAAGGACAAATCTCCAACCATTGCACCTTGTACAAAAGCATCAGCGAGCCCGAAAAGAGCAACTATCAAACATAACACCACATATGCTACTACGCTTCCACTGCCATGCGAAGCAAGATCCAACTTCACCAACCCAAATCAAAATAAAAATCACAACTTTATATTTATAAAACCGACGTTACAAAAGAAAGAATTAATAAGACAATTGAGAGTACTTACAATGATGAGACAAAAGGTACTAACGGTATAAATGCTGTACCCCAAAATGTTACGAAGTCGAGTATTGAGCTTAGCTTCTTTAGTAGCAAGTGTTATTATAAACACATTCGCAACCAATTGGTAAACTATTGTTAGCACCCTCGAAGGATGATATTTCTGTTGTTAACCAAGAAAAGCAAAAGAACACATATCGAATTAAACTGATATATATATCGACTGAAACGATTTATCTTAATACCGAAAAATTGCTTAGAGTCATACCGGGAAAATTTGATAATAGTAATCAGTGATGGTCAGCATTGCATTCCATGCCACGAGAGACCCTACTCCAAGGAAACAACACACAAGTCGTGCTGCATTCTTGCCCTGTTCATTATCAAATTTATTTCAGAAGTTGCATATATATACACTATACATGATAATTAATATGTAATATAGACTTTATGAATGATTGGTTAATATGAAGGTGTACACTAACCTCGAGCCTGCTAGGGATATCCTCTGGATTACTCATCGGGCAATCACAAATCCTCTAAACCTTGAAAATCTTCAAAACAATAGTAGAATATATACATTTTATACTTACTAGAAAAATAATTTCGTCCATTATTGAAAGTACTAACATTTCAACTTCTTAGGGTTTCTTACCTATGTATAAACTCTAACTTTCTGAATCAATTTCTTCACAATTTTGAGTATTTCACAAAAAAAAAAAAAAAAACTCCCGATATTCATAATTCCTTTTGATTCCCCAGTAAATATTCGTTCGACGATTAGAAGTTCAAAGAAAAAAAAAGTTTACTAAGAGATAGAACTTGAGTAAGTTGGATTATAATTATGGAACGAACACATGATGCTTTAAGAAATTGAAGGTTAAGATCATTGATCAAAGATAAAGAAAAGTCTACGAATAAGAAAAAAAAAAGCTAACCTTAAGGAAACCTTCTTCAAAGTTGGCAGGGAACGATGTAAGAAAACCCCAAAAACCTATGAGGCTATGAACATGAGATATTTTATAAAAAGATTCTTGATTTCCGAAATCATTGGATTTATCTGATTAGTGAATCGTAACAAATTTCATCCGAAAATGATTCGTTAACAAAAACAAGCGAGAAACAAAAATTGGAAAAAAGATTCATAAGTAATGGTGTAATTAAGAAATTTCGGCTCAAAAATAAAATAAATCTGATAAAGAAGGGAATATATCTTTAATTTAATTATAGAAGATTTGGTTTTACTCCGCTAAATGCGTGTGATTAATGAAATATTATATATAATTATAAATATTTGTTTGTTTGAAAGAAATTAGAAATTAGATTCTTATGGTTGAAGATTGCTTTGTTTTTTTTGTTCAACTGTGGTTGAAGATTTCTACTTGTTTTAGGATTTTCAGTTAAATTTTCTATTAATTTACCTACTATATTAATATATTTCTTAAGATTATATGTTATTTAAGACAAAAAAAAAAAGAATATGATCCTAATAAATATAACTATTAAATTTGATTGATTTCTTTTGGTTTTCAAATCAATTTGTTAGCAATTGCAAAAAGTGCCCACCAAAAAAAAATTGCAAAAAGTAATCTAGTAACTGCACCTAGTAGCAATGAAGAAAGTTACCTAAGTCATTAATGAGTTTACTTTAATGATTTTAGTTTTCATCTAGCTGTTATGAGAAATGTAATTTATATGTAAACGTATACTGTATATTACATTCGTAGTCACATGTCTAGACTAGACCCAATTTTCTCTGTTTTAATCCCATATGAAACTATTACTTTTATAAAGAGTTGTTGGGTTAAGTTTTTTTAACTAAACCCAACAACTTTATGTTCAAACCAAACTAAACTAGGCAAATTTGTTTTGGTGATTCTTGGTTTCTTAATATCTTGGTAATAAAACATCGTATTATATCGTATGGCCGGGCCGGTCCAAAGGTTTTTAATGTCTAAAGTCAAAAAAATCTACTTGATCATTTACAAATTAATATATAGAAATTGTTACAAAGTTTGGCAAAGCAGGGATTGAACTCGCCACCTTATAAGGATAATTAAGACAATGACAACTAGACTATAAGATTTTTACACGAATTTGATGTCCCTAACAACTAAAATTTATTTAGATGTGTAAAGCACCAGTTTGCTGGGATTTAGATATGGATCGGCATTGTAGTACGATAAGACTGCATTTTAAACTTAAGGAATATTTATAAGCTTATGGAGCTAGAGAAACTTTGAGAGCAACAAGTTCACAATTAAACATCGACGACCACTAGTACTATTCATAAATCAACTAAAATGTATAGTACTTTTCTTGGCTCTATATTAACTACATTAAAGCAAGTAAAATTCATGAGTAGATCTCTTGCGGAGAGGGTAAAAGGCTTACCTCCAATTGTGAGAGCATGCAACTCTTATGAATGGTGTTCCAATTGTTTCAATGATTGATCTAATAAGAAAAATAATAGTCTAACTATATTATACAAAAAATAATAAGCAAACTAAAATTTATTAGAACCATATCTTTTTTATTAGTGTTGGTTAAGTTACGGAGGTGATGCAAATACAAAAGAAGGTTCAATTTAAGAAAAGTATTAAAACAAAATATTTGATTGATGAATTCAGCCGTTCATCATAAAAATACTAAAAACAATATGATAATGAACAGATTTATCTCAGTCAACATAAAATCGTATTTGTGATGAACCAAAACTTAGGGACGAAAATTCCATTGAAGTTCAAAGCATCTATAGCCTCAATTGTCCCATGGTATCTGAAGCATTTTCCATTAAACTCTAGAGTTCTGTTGTTCACGTTTTTAGTTCTTAACTAAATATATATTTTAATTACTTTTTGTTTAGTGAATGGAAAAATTATCAAGAATTTAAGCAAAGTTTCTTTTTGGGATATTTTTAATCAAGATATATACTTTAATGATTTAAATCATTTAATCCTAGAAATTAAAACGGATCAACCAAAAGTTTAACACAAACCCCAAACCTAAAAGGAAAAGAGAATCATTGTGATTAGAACAAACAAACAATCGCCGCATCATAGCAACAAACAAAACAACTAAAAAAGAGATTAACCTAAATCAATAAAACCCTAATTAATTTTTACATGAATATTTGTCGCATATCGTAAGTAGGGTTAGTAATCGCTGCTTCATTGCTTCCCTCTCCGCTACTGCTTTGACATGCCTATTCATCGCTAAAACTGTCTTGATATAAAGTTTCCGATTATTAAAACGATCCACAGAAGATAATGCTTGTGACATCGAAGTTAGATCGAATGCACTTTTTTTCTTTGTCGGGACATTAGTCTTCACAAGAAGAGCCTTGTCGCTTGCGTTGTTGATAGCTTCTTTGAGGGAACTTAGATCAAAAGAAGAACCTCCATCATCGTTGATCTTAATTCTTCTTTTTTCGGAATGTCTTTTGGATTCTGGCTTCATCGTTTCGTCAAAAGTAAACAATAGGTTTAGAGAGAGACATGAAAGTGAGATATATAGAAGATGTAATTCGTTTTGGGCCATATTACGACCCAAACTAGGCCCGATATATGTTTTCGTGGTGAAATAGATTACCCAATAACATTAGGTCAAATAACAATAGATCTTTAAGGAAATTGGTGGAGATAAACTAAAGTTAGTTTCCATTCTTTGTTTGCGCTAGTTTTAAAATTTGAAATATTTTTTTGGAAAAAAGTATCATTAAAATATTTTTAGATTCAATACAAAAACTGAATACCCTAGATATTAGGAAATCTCAAAACTTTATTGGGTAATAAACATCAATTTCTATCTTCTTATTTTAATTACATTTTAATTAATAATAAAATTATCTAGAATTTAAGCACATCATTTTCATTTTTTAATCATACCTTAATTCTAGAAATTAAGCCGGATCAATTAATTAAGAAATTAACTTAAACAAAGAAAATAAGAAACCAAAAAAACATTGAAGAAAATCACGAATTACTTTTCATTTTTAATCAAAGATATTATACAGTAAATCTAGAAATTAAAACGGATCTCCAAAAAAATATTAATTTAATGTAAGGTTGGAAAAAAGAAAAAGAAACAACTGAAAATTATCATTGTTGTGAATGAACGACAATCACCGCATCAAAAAATATAAAATATAAAATAAATGTTTAAATATAAAATCAATTTTTGATATATAACGATTTTTAATACTAAATAAATGTTTTATTTTTAAGAAATTGTTATTTTAATATTTTTTAAGGATATGTTATCCTAAATATTTCTTAAAAAATTAATAATAAATATTCTAATATTTAAAAGTGAATATTCTATCACATGAAAAGTTACCCGAACTTGTGCCTATTTAGGTAAATAGTTTAAACCTTTACCTTGCAATTGAGTTCATATGTTTAGAGTTTTGGATTTTTTTTGCTTTATATAACATGATAAATATTAAGCTATAAACTTTATCATATTTTTAGATATTATCTTAATAATTTTTAATAAACCATCCTTCTATTAAAATAAATATATCATAATTAATATTTTTTCCGAATTCAGTTTATCTTAATCTCCAAATTTCAAATTTAGTTTTGATTTATTAAAAATATAGATTCTAACATAAATCTGGAAAAAATATCATATTACATATATAAAAATGTAGTTTTTATTTAAAATTAAAAAAAGAAGAAGATATTTTTCAAACTAAAACTCATAATTAGGATGGTTTTCAAAATGTCCCATTTTATATATATATATATATATATATATATATATAAAATAAAATTATCACTAAAATAGTATTTGGATTCTCCATTTAAACAAAAAAGGAAAATGTAACATACATACTGGATTCTCTAGATTTAAGGAAATAAAATCTTCAAAAACTTAGATTGGATAGTAAACATGCATTTAAAATTTATTTATTTAATTAATGAGAAAATTACCTAGAATTAAAGAGGAGCATTTTTTATTTATAATTAAGAGATTTACTCTAATTTTAGAAATGAAAGTAGATGTAAATTAATTAATAAATTATTGAAATAAACCTTTTAATTAAAAAAAACAAATTATTGAACTAAATAAGAAAATTCAAACCTAAAATTGAAGAGAATCATCATGACATTAACAAACGAAATCATTGCATCACTATAAGTACAATCTTTGTGCCAAACTATTAAAAAAAACATGAATAGTTACATCTACAAGTTTACATAGAACAATTTACATTGTAGTTGCTTTTAGGAGTAACTGCAAGAAGACAAACAGTTAGATAGTTTTTAATGAGGCTTATATGAGCATGCAAATGATCTCGATAATACTTCACCAGTGGTAGCTTTTGAAGAATATGTATGTTGAGAAAAATGCAAATGAACTCGATCAACTTCGAAAATGCCAAGAATAGCATTGCAGTTGATCTTAAATTATTTAAAATAGTATAACTAATTTCAAGAAAAAAAAGCGCGCTGGCAAGTTAAATAAATAAGTACATAGATTAATATATAAGCGTCTTTTCGAAGAGAGTTTGGAGATCTATCGAATAACGCTTTGGTAATAAGCCTCAATGAAGATATTATAGCCTCGGCTATGCCTAGACCCACAATAAATGACTTAAGAAAAAATTATAAATCTTAGTTAAAAATAGTATAAATGAAACTTTTTGGTGTTATCAAATTTATTATAAGAAGAAGTACGAAAACCTGAATAAATTCAAAGCACATGAAAGATAGCTCTTCAACTATGGCACCTTCTACATGAGCATTTGCTATCGCAAAACATGCAACAATCAAACATAACACCATGTATGCGGAAAACTCTCATGCTCCTTAGGTTGCCAAGTCTAACTACAAAATTAAGGGGAAATTACATATATAGATAACTCTATGTATGTGTATAATTTATCTTTTTTTTAGTCAGATTTATATAATTTATCTAAAGAAGGTCTTTCAAATGAATTACATACATATAGAAAAATTACTCACAATAAACTAAAAAAGAGCGCCGATAAATAAAATCGTATAACTGATAATAATCAATGGTAGAGCCAAAATTTTTGTTTACAAAGGTCATATATATTTAATTATTTTTGTTAAATGATATATTTGAAGTAATTATCAAGAACATTTGATTTTTTTTACCTAAAACGAACCCATATAATCTAGTTTTCTTAATATTAAACACACACACATATATATATATATAGAATGCTCCACTTTCCAAAGAAAAAATATTTGTAGTTCATCATTCTTATTTTTAGTTGTATTAGGGACACTTTATTCTCATATTGTTTTTTTTTTTTTTTAATCAAAATATAGTATATTGTGTTCATCTTGACTTTTTCAAAAAATATATATGTTAAGAACAATTTTTTAAAAAAGGAAGCAAGAAAAAATTTGAAACAGGATCTCTAGAAAAGAAGAAAAAAAATCAATATCTAAGAATATGTTAGGAATTTTTAGCCATTTAAAATGAAAAAAAAATGGAAAGAAAGTAACATTTAATTGTACAAATGAACATGCATGATTGCATGATGCATGGTCAAAGGCATGGTTCGATCACTATCTTTTTTTTTTTTGACATCTTTGGATCGACAAAGCCCGATCCATAGCCAATCCCTACTACGCGGGGTAACGCGACTTAGTGGAGTTCGATCACTATCTATGTGGGTCATTATGGAAACTTTAAACAAAAAATCTAGTAAAAGTGTGATCATATGTTTTACTAAACGTCTCTGCCACACGTACAAATGAAATTAAACAAATATTAATACGTGCCTAAGAAACTATAAAATGAGATCATTACAAGCTGTTTTGTGTTTCAGATAAATTATTGGCTAACATTTTGGACAGCTCATGGAGTTTTTGTATCTTTGCAATTTTATATCCCCCTGAATTTGAAATAAATTTTTACCAAACCTTAGAATGTAAATTTTGGAAGACCACGAAACAAATTTAAAACATTCGACAGAAGTTTTGACTCTCAACTATCTTTTACAAAACAAAAAGTTTGAGTCTCAAGTCTCAACTAACTAAGTCTCCTAAGAGACTCGAACTAGGAGATAAAAAAATCAGAGAAGGATAACAAAACAGAGAGCCTGTCCATAGCCTAAAAGAAGAATATTTGAATTGATATATCAGTTAAAAGCACTTGACTTTTCTCTGTATAGGGAAGGGACACAGATATTGTCAAATAGGATCTAATCAAAAGGACGAAATCAAGAGCCAAAATAGAGAAAGTAGTGTCTTTTAGTTGTAGCAAAGGATACAGGCCATAAGGAGTGAAATGTATACAAAATCAAGGATACTTTTCTGTAATTGGAATAGAACATTTGTTGTGGTTACATCATGTCTTAACCGGCCTCACAAGCCCCAAACCAGAGCCACTACCCAAATGCTTGTACTCCTTAGCCTCAAGATGATCGTCGTGCTCAGCGAAACCTGTGCCTCCTTTCTTTAACCCAACCAAGTTCCTGTCCTTGCAAGGCTTGTCACACACAAGACAGACTTTGTCGACGGGCATAAACTTTTCAGCACACTTCTTGCAGAAAACATGTCCGCATGAGCTAAGTGCCACGAGGGACATTGTGTTGGTGAGAGTGACTTTGCAGCTCGGGCAGATGTAGGATTTATCATAAGAGCTTGAAGATGCTGATTTCGGCTTGTTCTCTTCTTCTTCGCTGTTGTCTTCTGTGAAACGAATTGCAAAGAGGTTCTTAAGCTTGAGCTTCTCTTTGCCCTCTGGACAGACTGTGTGAGTTTCTGGAGCATCTACTCTGACTGAAGCTGCTGGTGTAGCTGATGGGAGCCAGAAGGCTTTCATCGTTTTAAGCGCTTCTTCTTCAAAGGAAGTTGTCTTCACACTGTTCGCCCCATGAAAACCATTCTTGTCGTCATTGTGGTTCTTATCACTGTTTCGAGGCATTGCACTATGGTTTTGCTGATCAAATTCATCGAGCTCTCTCGCCTTTTGTAACATTAGCCTCTCTTCTTCTTCATCCTTATCTTGCTTCTTTTGAGACGTATGTGCAGCAAGCCTCCTAAAAACATCTCAGTACTACATATCAGTATCTTAAACATACAGAACAAAGATAAATCAGACACAAAATCGTTTAAAAAAAACGCAATCTTGAAAATCCCAACAAGTCCTAAGTCCTAACAAGTGAGGAGAGTCGGATCCAAAAGTTTCTACTCCAGCAGTTATTGATATACAAGCTCAAACAATCACATGCAACCATATGCTAACCCTGAGACCCGTACTCATTTAACCCAACGAATCCAATCTAAGCAAGTAGAGATAGAGACATGATCTGAGCATCAAAATCAATTTGAACATTACTTTAGTTATCACTCCATAGGTTTATCCAAGCTTTCATGCTACAACTCAAGTAAAGTTATTAGCTTCTCCTTCTCAAAAACTGTGGGACTAAAACTGTGAGACTAGTAGTGTAAAAACCAGTACTCCTTAAGGTATACTCAAAAGTCTTAACTCTTACCAAACAACCCCTACTCAAGCATTAAATTAAAACTCAGATCTTTCAAGGACAACTTGTTATCAGAGTAATGTTTACGATGTCGTTTCAGACAATGACTACAATGAAATCCAACGAATCTAATCCAAGCAAGTAGAGACCTGATCTAATCCATGACTTGATCTAAAAACTTCAATCATCTAATCCACACAAGATGTAATCCTATCTAGATCCTAAAGCTAGAAACTTCATGCTAAAACTCAAGTAAAGTCATCATCTTCTCCTTCTCAAAAGCTATTGGAGTGGGACTAGTAGTAACAAAACCAGTACTCCTTAAGGTATACTCAAAAGTCTAAGTCTTACTAAACAAACCCTACTCAAGCATTAAATTAAAATCAGATCTTTGAAGAACAACTTGTTATCAAAGTAATGCTTAAGAGACTTGATCTAATCCATGACTTGGTCTAAGAACCTCAATCATCCAATTCACAACAGATACATGAGGAATTCAAAGCTAGAAACTTCAATGACAATCCAAAGTGTTGATATTTTCATAAATACATAACAAAGGAACTTAAAAGTTGCAAACTTTGAAAGAAAAACTCCAAAAAGTTTATACCTTTGGATATCTTTCTTCTGAGCAAGGAAACATTCGAGGATACACTCTCTGCAAAAGACATGACCTTTATGGCAACACATCGGATCGATGAAAGGCTTCAAGCAGAGAGAACAAGCATCAAAGGGCTTAATCGAGTCTTTCCCCAATCTCTCTCTCTGAGTTCCATAACCTAACTTCTTCTTCTCGTCGTAAGTGAAATAGGCAAGATCATTGTTGTTCTTCGAGTGTCTCTGCGGCATATTGGCGACGAAGATTGAATTGGGTAGAAGACGAATCAGATGTCTGAATCGGAAACCCTATTTTTCTCAGATTGGAGAATTTGGGGAATTGGGTTTTCCAGTGTTTCGCTCTCATGTAAGTCGGCTATGTTATCACATCCTTTACCGTCCGATATGAATCTAATCTAACGGTTCTCTAATTATTACCACTTTTTGTTATGTTTTTTTGGACTAGGGAATGATATGATAACAAAAAAAATCATTGTTTAAGAAATTTACATATTGTTCTTACCAAAAAAAAAAAAGATTTACATTTTGTTATGAGAACATTGATAAACAATAAATTTCAAAATATATTTGGATTACTTCTCAAAAAAAATTTACTCTAAATATATTAAATCTATATATACATTTTTGGAACACTTTTAGTAAATAAATCATGGAGTTGGGAAATATTTACAAATAATTTTATTGGTTGGGTTGGCTTATTTTAATAATCAATGTAAAAGAAAAGTTATGCTTGTTAAATTATTGTTATATATATTCACTTAATCATATTAACTCACGTCAAGACAATTCTATTACAGCGACATTGATAGATTTAAGGATCTTAATAAGGTTAGCAGCCCCGACTTAGAGGGGTGGGGTGGAGGTGCGACGGTCTGGGGCTTTCTTTTTTAAAAAAAAAAATTTCATGTAAAAAAAGCCTAAATATTTTTTAAAAATATTATTAATATGAGAATTATATTTCAAGAAGTCTAATTCTTTATAAGAAAATGTATAAAAAAGCCCAAAATTTTTAAAATAAAAATTTTCACTATAAAAATCTATAAATTTTTTATTTATATATAATAATAGGCAAAAAAAAAAATTGTTTGCCCTAAGGCTCCCAAATATATTGGGCCGGGGCTGAAGATTAGTTGCCCAATTTATATTATGAAGCAAAACATTTTTTTGGTCCATCATAAAAACTCATTAAAATAATTAACAAAATATTGGAGTGTATAGGCTCAAAGTTGGTACTTTTAAAGGGGAAACTACCCTATTGCAATAATTTTTTAAAAAATTATTGTATAGATCAACCTAAAACTCTTGTTTCATGAGATTTAGTTTAGAACCAAACCTTTTAGCAAGTCTGCGTGCTCGAAAGAACAACAATTTACATGGGAACATGTATGTTCTATGAACATGAATTGATTATAGAAATATGATTTGTAAATAAGGTTTAGAAACCCCAAGATTTTTTATTTAATTTTGTGCTACCTTCCTACGATTAATTCTTTCAAATATACAAATAAGGAAAAGATTTGTACTAGCTTTTTTCCATTACTTGGTACTCTCAAATAGCCAATCGCCAATCGCCACGTCCTCCTTAATTTTAGTTAGAAATGTGACCCAAACAAAAAAAAAACAACTAGTGTACAAATCCGATTTGTTTTTTATCGTCAATTAATGTACAAATCCGATTGTGTCAGTATGTATTATAATATTTTTAACGAAGATTTTAGTTATGTAAAAATGTTTTTTTTTTTTTTTTTTGTCAAAGTTATGTAAAAATGTTGAAAAGTGAAAACTATGGAGGAAAGACTTCGAGACAAAATGAATAGTCAAAGAGCGTAGGGGAAGATTAATAACTTATGGTCAATGAGTCATCTACCAACAATTGTTGTGAAAGTAACATCGTTGACCGATGCAACATCATGACCGTCCAAGTTGAGTTCAATCTCACCGGAGTTCAAGAACGAGTGGAAGGTCGGTTGTCTCGGACGTGGAAGTTCACTGGTTCTACTCTCCAACATCAATAAAACAGAACCAATGTTTGGTCGGTGAATGACCGAGTCTTGTGTACACAACATCCCTACGTGGATGCATCTCATCGCTTCCGTTACGTCTCTAGTGTCCTTCACAGTTGGATCTATCAGCTCTTTTGTCTTTCCTTGGCTCCATAAATGCCACGCCTGAGTTTGATTTTCCGTTTGGAACATTAGTAACATAAAAACAAAAAAATCAGAACCGTTAACAAATCATAAATTAGGTTGATCTCACACCTATGAATTTCAATTAGACCAGAAAATTTCCGGTTAAAGAAAATATACTTACATAACCGATGAGACTTCCATGTTCAGACCCTCGAAAGCTAAGGTTTTTTCTTCCACTCACAATCTCCAATATCAACACTCCAAAGCTATACACATCTGATTTCTCAGAGAATATCCCTTCCATTGCATACTCCGGAGCCATATAACCACTTCACATGTTCAACATCAAAATCATTATAAACTGAAACTGTTTCATATTGTTTATACAAGAGAGAAAGAGGTTTGTTTAGTTACTATGTGCCGACGACTCGGATCGTGTTGGCCTGGTCTTGTCGGTAGTTGAAGATCCTAGCCATACCGAAATCTGAAATCTTTGGATTCATTTCCGTGTCTAGCAAGATATTGCTAGCTTTTAGGTCACGGTGAATGATCTTTAGTCTTGAGTCTCTATGTAAGTAAAGTAATCCCCTCGCAATTCCTCCAATGATCTCCCATCGTTTTCTCCAGTCCAAACTTCCTCGTTTACTCTCATCTGTGTAGAGACATCTATTTTATACTCAAACCGCAAAATTTCAGAACATGTTTATCGAAATTGTTTAGTAAAAGAACCAATACCAAAAAGGAAGCGATCCAAACTCTTGTTTGGTAAGTATTCATAGAGAAGCATTTTCTCGTTGTCTTCAATGCAACATCCCAGTAATCTAACAAGATTTCGATGCTGAAGTTTCGCGATTAGTAAGATCTCGTTCTTGAATTCCTCTAGCCCTTGCTTAGATTTCCCGGATAGTCTCTTCACCGCAATCTCTCTTCCTTCTGAAAAGTTTCCCTGTCCAGACATAAAACATAAGTTTTTGCAGACAGAGCAAATTTTTGTTATCCAATATTATTGTCAAGAAAATTCATTTTCAATTGATTTACCTTATATACAGTACCGAATCCGCCATGTCCTAGTTTGTTTTCTTCAGCGAAATCTCCTGTTGCTAAGGCTACGCTGTCGTAACTGAAAATTGGCAAATCGGGTGTGTCAACTTGATCCCCTACTAGAAGTTTGATCGGCGAGCTTGAGGACTTCACCGAGTAATCACTGCTCTCTCTGATATCAGAAACTGGAAGATCTTTCTTCTTCCAAAAGAAAGCTGCAGATATGAAGTAATTGACAGTCTCAGCAGTTAATTCTTTGAAACTATACTATATGCTAATAGAGACTTTACCTTTGAGACTTTTCTTGAACTTCCATAAGATCCAAATGCATAATCCTAGTAAGAATGCACCTATAACACTGAAAATAATTATCCAAAGTTTTGATTTTTCTTTTCCACCTCCTGTATACACAACAAAAGAAACCAAAACAGTTAAAGATACAGATTTCAGATTAGATATTTCTAAATCTCTTAAAATGTTTCATGATAGCTCAAATATTTTTACAAACCTAGTTCAGAACCCGCTAGCCGGATGTTGATAAAGTTTCCACCGCGTTTAAAATGCTCCATATCGATCAAATCATGGGTCCAAATCATGCATCCGATCCCTAATACAACCGCATAAGCCTTACACGAACAGTTTCTTGCGCATACATCTTTACAGGTCTCTGAGTTGTTATGTAAAACAACTGATCCAAAATCAGGCACCTTAATTCCCTTAAGTACCTTAAACCCATCTTCTTGATCCGCAACCACACTCTGATTACAGTTCAACTGAACTCTTCTCTTGCAGCCACCTGAGAAATCCTTGTTGTTCCATTGATCCTGATGAACAGGCTCAAACCCATCAATGCAACTGCATTTACCGGAATCAAACTCCTTGCTATCATCACATACACTATAATTACCACAACGGTTATACTTCTCACATTCCGTGCTCGGTTTCCATTGAAGCAATGTCCAGTTCTTGGCATCCTTATTCCATCTATACTGCTCTTCTACGCCATCAAACCTAATCCAAAACCTCAAGAAATCGGAACTATCTGAGGCAACATACGTGAAGTACACGCTACCATCTCGATCCGGAGGAGAGAGCTTAAACCCGTAAATATAATTCGTGAAACGGAACATATCCGGTATACCCGTAAAGATAGCTGAATTCCACGGTCCGCTACGCCATTTCCTCTTTTCCCCTTCCCAAATCACAATCTCTAGTGCTCCAACAGGATCGATGCCCATTGAATACTTTCCTGGTGAAGGATCATTCTCGGATTTCCACGGGGTAAAAGCCCGATTTTCTCCATGCGAAGGATTCACCCGAACCCTCATACCGGGCAAGAAAGTGTCGGTTGGATTGTTAAAACTCTCCCAATACCATTTGCCTCTATCTGAGTCTGAAAACAGAACCAAATCCCCTGTTTTCAACAGAACAGCAACAGTGTTGTTTGACTCGGGCTTAGCATTTGTAGACCAAATGGTGTCGTTTTGCCCATTGACGACCACCAAATTCCCATCATCTGCAATCTTCAAAGCTCCCTTGTGATCCAACAATGGCTTCTCTCGATTCGCAACCCAGACAACTGTTCGAGGTTCGATGTTCTTGTACCATATTCCGACATACCTGAAAGTAGAATCTTTGGGGCTGAAGAATCCAAGCTCGAAGCTTTCATCCTCGCTGACAAGTGAGTCTCCATCTCGTATCGTGTGGTTTCTGGTGATTGAGTTGCTTGTGGAGCAAGATACGTTGGTACATAGTTGAAGCAAAATCAAAAGGGTCGTCACCAAAGTAAGGTTTCTGTAAAATTCTGCCATATTTGAGATGATTTGGATCTTCAGAGATCTTTAAACGACGAGAAGGAAAATAAAGAAAAGAACAAAAAAAGTGGCTGTTGAATTTTCATGTAGACTAGTTGGTCTTTCTCAATTTAACGACTTCTATATTCCTTTTTACATATAAATATACATAAAAGGAGAAAAGTCTTCTTTTAAATTGAGGAAATTAGTGGAAATTATCTCCAAAAATATACCAACGACAGAAAAAGACAACCGGCGAATTCATGTTGACAAGTGACAAGAACATGAATTTTTCACGTTTTATTTAGACTTTTGATTATATAATGCAAAATTGTGACTAGTAAGGCAAGACATGGATATATGATATCAATTGGTTTTGTTATCTCTTATTGAGAATACGACCTTCTTCATTTGGGTGGCTGAGAACATTTCCTTTTTTTTTTTTTTTTTTTCTGAAGTCTTTATAGTTTATAGTACAATACTACTGGAGATAGACATATGGTGTTTGGATCCATGGAGTAACTATACATGTATGCAGATCCGTCTAAAACTGTGATATCCATGAGTTTTTGATATGGATTTGCATCCGTTAAAAAAAAAAGAAAAAAAATAGATAGCTATATATTCCAAATAAAAAATTAAAAATAATTAGCTATATATTTGAAATATTAAATTAAAAATAAATTTCGAATTGATTTTAAAATTATTTTCTATATTAAGGATATTTGCAATACATAAAAATCAGTGTTTTTAAATCCGACCCAGATAGTGAACCGGACTACCTTCTGGGTCACCGGGTTACTGGGTCAACTGGGTTCGACCACGGGTCAATTGATTAAAATATATTTAATATTTAAAGATATTATATAGTTTTTATAAATATAAAAATAAAATATTCAAACTATATTTACAAAATATGTAGTCTAACAATAATAATAAAGTGATTCAAATTAAATTTTTAAATCCAAGTAAAAGTCTAAAACCGTAACAAATATTAATATAGTAGGAGATCGTCAATGACGGAAATAAACTAATATACCATCGCGAATTCAAAACAACTAACAGGGCCGACCCTGGGCTAAAGCTAGTAAAGCCCTTGCTTTAGGCGCTAAAACATATATATAGATTGAGAGGGCATCAATTTCTTAAGATAACTGGTAGTGCAGTGGTTGACGCTTTATTAATTGTTCCTCTTGTGCCTAGTTCAATCCTCAAAACTGTCATTTTTTTATTTTTTTTTAAAATAAATGGGCAAGGACTTTGGTTTTGCTTTGGGCAACAATATCTATTGGGCCGGCCCTGAACTAATCTCGGTTATTTCTTCTTAGACGGTACAGTGAAGTTTCATCAAAATCTAAAGGAACGACAAGGTAATTCCCCCCCAAAACTTTCGTATAACATCACTTCCACTCAAAGTTTCACACTCTCTCTATTTTTCCCCAGAATCATAGTTCTACAATTATTTCTCCCTAGATATAAAGTTAAAAACCTATTTCAACATAAAATGAAAGTTCAAAACTAATTTTCACATAAAGTTGGGTTGATGTTGGTTTACTGTAGACTAATCTTGTTTTAACCAACATAAACAAACTTAAACCAAACCTAAACAAATTTAACTCGAAACCCAAACCCGATTAAATACCCAAATCATAAACTCCCTCAACTTATAAATGTCCCCATATCAAAAACCCTTCCTCACGAAACCAAAACCTGCAAGTTCATTGATCTTCGTCGATGTCAGTTCTAGAGAGCGAGATGAACGATGTTTCTATTGATGAGGAACCCGATGATGAAAATCTAGAAGACCAAACCGCACGAAATGATTTCAACATCGAGCAAGCAGTAATCGAATTCATTGATGACCGTGTATTCGTCACGATGTCATTCCCGACAGTGACAGTGATGAAGACGATGATGTTGAACGTCGGAGAGATCGTAACGAGATCAGACGTGGTGATGGAAATTTGTACATGGACCAAGTGTTCTACAATAAAATTGCGTTTAAAGAAGCTGTCCTCGACTACGCTCTTCGATCAGGTAGGAATATCAGGCAGTACAGGTATGATAAAACAAAGCTTGGGTATCGTTGTAATGTTGATGGTTGCGGATGGCGTATTTATTGCTCTGTTAGTTCTAAGTCTGATAAGTGGCAAGTTACAAGATTTATTGAAAAGCATAGTTGTACCGTTAATGGGGAATGTGAGATGATTAGAGTGCCAGTGATTGCAAGATTGTTTCTTGACAAGATCCGGGATGAACCTGTTTACTTTATGCCAATGAAGATTGAAGAACTGATAATGGAAAAATGGAAGATTAGTGTATCAAGGCCTCAATGCCAAGATGCTAGGCTTAAAGCTTTGAAATGGATTGATAAAGAATATGATGAGCAATTTGCACGGATTAGAGATTTTGGTGCTGAGATAGAAGAATCAAATCCTGGTTCTACGGTGGAAATTGATACGCTGACAAATGAGAATGGTGAGAATGAATTCAATAGATTCTATGTGTGTTTTGACAGTCTTAGAAGAACATGGAAGGAAACATGTAGGCCAATATTAGGAGTAGATGGCTGTTTCTTGAGAGGAAAAACCAAAGGTCAGTTGTTGGTAGCTTTAGGGCGAGATGCGGACAACGCTATATATCCAGTGGCATGGGGTGTTGTCCAAGTGGAGAATGGCCCTAATTGGTTGTGGTTTGTGAACAAGATTAAAGATGATTTAGGATTAAAAGATGGTGAAGGATACATATTGGTCTCGGATCGTCAAAAGGTGTGAATGTTTGTATTAATTACTACTTTGTTTTCTACTATGTTTTCTCTGCTTTAACTTGTGGTTCTGTTACAGGGATTGATTAGAGCTGTGGAGATAGAGTTACCCCAGATTGAACATAGGATGTGTGTGAGACACATATATGGAAATTTAAAGGCAAATCATGGTAAGAAATCACAGATGAAGCCTTTTATCTGGAATCTAGCATGGAGTTACAATGAGGCTGAGTATAGAGAAAACCTAGAGAAATTGAAGCAATATGATATGGGTGTTTATGAGGATGTGATGAAGTCGAACCCAATGAGTTGGTGTAGAGCTTTCTACAAAATTGGCCACTATGTTGAAGATGTTGAGAACAACTCCACAGAATCATTTAACAATACGATAGTCAAAGCAAGAGAGAAGCCACTGGTGCCTATGTTAGAAATGATTGCTCGACTTGCAATGGTACGTATTGCCAAAAGAAGTGTTAAATCTCATGATCACAAGGGTTTATGTACACCATATGTGGAAGCATATCTTGCAAAAGAGCTTGAAGATGCTGTAGAAGTTAAGGTTCACAGAAGTATAAATAAAATGTTTTTAGCTATGTTGTCTGGTTGTTCTTACCGTGTGAGTTTGAATCAGAGGACTTGTAGCTGTAGGAAATGGGAGATCACAGGAATCCCATGTGTACATGCATATGGTGTTATCCTTAAGTTGAAACTTAAAGCCGAGGATTACGTCTGCCACTGGTTTCGTACAGCCCAGTGGAAGAGGAACTACACAGAGGGTCTAGTTCCATTAAGAGGTGCAAGGTTTTGGCCTGTTGGAACAGCTCCTCTAGTGCATCCACCTCCTGAGCCTCCACAGCCTGGTAGGAAAAAAAAGAGTAAGAAGGTGAAAAGAAAGAAAGGAAAAAATGAGTCTCCTTTAAAGAAGCAACCAAAGCTTCTGAAACGAGTTATGCATTGTGGGGTATGTGGTGCGGCTAATCACAACTCTAGGTTTCATAAGAAGAAGAAAGAGGTTTGTGTTTCATTATCTAATGTGTCTATATACTATGTTTTATATGCTTTGTTTAACTTATTTTATTTGTGTTGTTACTACAGGTTCCTCATGGTGAACCTTCTCAAGGAACTGTCACGCAGGAAATGAGCTTGAACTGAGCTTGGAGGGAGGGTAGAAGAAGCTTTTGGTCTATTTTTTTGTAAAAGCTTTTGGTCTGTTTTAAGGGTCTATTTTTCATTCTTCTCAACTATTCTTTGTTATGTTATTGGTCTGAGACAAAATATGCATATTGAATGCAATTTTAACTTCCATTTTCTCTTTTTTTTTTTTTTCTGTTGAATGCATTTTTTTCAGTAACATCATTAGATCACAATCGAATCAACCAAGCATTTTATTAACCAATCAAGATCTTACAACATAGAATAATAACAACCATCCATTTCTTCAAACTTGGTCACAATGTTCTGTCTCGCTCACGATGCTTTTTACAAGTCTCTTGTTCACAGATTCGGGTTTAATTCTCAATGGAGCTCCGACCAAACTTGGGAATGGAGTATTGGTTCCTCGTTACATTTTGGGAGATTCTTCTCTTCCTTTATTGTCTTCGCTTGTGACACCTATGGGTTTTTTGGTTTCGTATCGGGTTTACGTCGTCAACCCAGTAAACCAACCATTATGTGAAGATATGTATCGAATTTTAGATTTGGGGAGAAATAATTTTAGAACTTTGATTCTGGGGAGAGAGAGAGAGAGAGAGAGTGAAACTTTGGGTGGAAGTGGTGCTATACGAAAGTTATGGGGGGAATACATCGTCATCCCAAATCTAAAACATCAAATGAGTTTAAAAATTAAAAAAAAATTCTAAAAATAACTAAATAGAGTCTAAAATTCTATATTTTATTACAAAATCAAATGATATTTTTAAAACCTATACCCAGCCGGTTCAACCGGTTCACTGGGTCGCGGGTTAATAGCGGATTTTTGTGGGTTTTTGCGGTTTTGAAATTGGCGGATATTAGCACTAAACCCAAACCGGAAAAGTGTATGGGTCGTAGGTTAACGGGTCGGACCGGGCGGTTCGGTTCGGACGTGAAAACACTGATAAAAATACTGATGTAGAAATTAGAATGAGAATCAATACTGGGGCACGACAGAACAATTTCTTTTTTGTATGAGTCCATAAAACTATTGGTGAAGAAAAAATGTAAATTCTAATAGAGTTACGTTTCACCTTACAAAACGCAAGTATGGAAATATGCATAATTCAAATATTATGTTGAATCTTACATAAATCTTACGTTTTATGTAAGTAAATTCTATTCAAACGAAGCACAAGTTCCGCTTGCGCAGATTCACTCATTCACACGAGTATGAGGAAGCAAATTATATTTTCCGACAGTGACATAACACTGGCGAACGCATGACTTTCGGAGAATTGCCCCACACCACTTATTACTCCTCTAAGTCCGAGTTTGGTACAAACCCATTTTAAACATGGCTTTATCAGTTGCTTATTTTTATTTTTATTTTTAATAATATTTCAGCAAATTTGGTAAAAATATGGTGGCTAAACCTTAAATAAATTGTGTGTTTTTTGCATTTGATTTAAACAAATAATGTGATTTCATATCAAACAGTGTGAGATTGGTTAAAATAACATGATATTTGTTAAAAAGACGAGTAAATTTTAAGTATCGTTTTGGTCCATCCAAAAGAGAGAATAAGAGTTTTAAGTATGAAATTAAAACTCCAACAATGGCATTCACAAATGGTATTTTGTGAATGTCAATATGTCTGTTATACATGTATGATATTTTAAGAACAATTCTTGGGTTCACCCCTCTGTCATACATGTATGATATTTTAAGAACAATTCTTGGGTTCACCCCTAGGAGTAAACCCTTGTATTCACCTATTTTGGTTTTAACCAATCATTATGCCATGTCATATATCATTTAAATAGAAATTAAAAATTAAACAAACAAATAAAATAAATTAAGAAATAAAATCATTAACAAAAAAAATTAGGTTACGGAATCACCTTTGAGAAAAAGTGAAGACAGGGAAAGTGACGACCGTGGTTCTTCCTCTTGTTGGATTCGGAAGAGAAAACGTGAAGACATTCATTTCGAACGGGACGATGGTTATGTTCGGTTGGATTCGGAAATGATCGGAAACGAATTAGAGAGGTTTTGGTCTATAAGTCGATTAGGTGTAGTCGTGTAGAGTTCGTATGTTATTTATGAAGGTTGTTGTGTTGGTCATAAAGGTTACGTGCACTAGCTAATGGAGGTTTCTATAGATTGATAAATTTCAGTTTCTGTTAATTCTGTACATATCTGCCATTGCTTGCCCGCTTGGTTTTCTAGTTCTGTTAGGCTCTCTTATACACTTGAAGTTTGTTGGCATTTGAGTTCCATCTGCTTTCTTCGTCTTACTTGAGTAGTTGGGTTAGGAAGTTAAGAGACTAAATCACAGCCTTACCTTTGGCATAATTTGACAAATCTTGAACCAAATTTCAAATGTCTTGTATATAATGAGAATCACAATTTTTTCCTTTGTCAAGATGATAAAAAGGACGATCAGCAAGACTTCAAGAGTGATGTAAGCTATTTATCATGTGTTCTTTTTGGAGTTAAGTCTTAAATATAAAAAGGGGAAAATCTTGATGTGTGTATTATGACATGTATTGTTTTAGATTATGATAGTGTTTCACATGAAATGCTAATAGGAACTTACATGAATCCTGCAACACTCTTTACTCCCTCTATTCATATGAAGTAATGTTTTCTGGATATTGATATGATGTTCTGTTTGTTCATATTGCATTGATGATGCATAATGAATCTCAAATGAAGAGAGCCGTAACCTAAGTTTTTTATTTGTTTGTTTAATTTTATTTTTTTAATTTATTTTATTTGTTTGTTTAGTTTTTAATTTCTATCTAAATGATATATGACATGGCATAATGATTGGTTAAAACTAAAGCGGGTGAATACAATGGTGAACCCAAGAATTGTTCATATTTTAATAAACAGATTGTTATTTCGGCTTGAGAGTCTCTTTTCATAAGTTATAAAGTAGAGTTATAATCTGTTGGCCGAGTTTCTTTTTTGTTTCCATCATCACACTATAGAGTAAAGATTTAGGAAGAAGTACTACATTTTGTAAAACATAATCCATAAGCAGGTCCCAGGCTTAGGACTTTAATTACATAGAGGAAGAGTTATAGTTACTCCCAGTTACATCTAAGTCTATTAGTATGTCTAAATACACATTTAACCAACAAAACTCCATCTGCTCTTCTCAGCCCAAAACTCTCCACCAACACATAACACCCAAATCTCCTCCAATCTCTTCTAGAAATCCTAATTGGTTCATCTCTCTCCACTCTCACCACCTTCCTTCCTCCACCCACCCACCCTCCTTCCTCCATTACTCTTCTCATCCTTTCTACCACCACAAAACTCAGCCCCACCGGAGAACTTACACCCCTTTTCCTCCTCCTCTCCCCCGGTCCCCGTGGACCTTGAACTTGCCTATACCAATGAAATCCTCCATGCCCTTCTTTCTCCCCCTTAACCGCCTCCATACCCTTCACATAGTTGGCCTCTCTCACGACGTTCGCCTCTACGCTCACCACTTCTTCTTCGTTGTCATCATTGTTTTCGTCAATATTGTTGTGGGCGTCATTGTTTTCACAATGATAGATCCGTTCCCAGTATTGGGATAGTGTGATCCTATAGAACATTGACTTCCTCATTTGGTAACTTAAACTACAATTCTCCTTCACAAACATAAACGGGCAATACCATTCTCCTACTATCACGCTCCCTGACCGAATTGTAGAGACTGGGAATCCGAATGCAGGGAGACGGGCTCTTAGCTCATCGTCTAGGCCTAGAGCTTCTCTAGGTCTCCTCGGATGTAGGCTCCTCGAGGTTCGCAGCTCCCATCCTTTCTTCTTGAGAAATGAAGGCGGTGTACCATCTGGTGCCACTGATTTCCCAAAGAACGTCCGGTCGTGATGCCGGTTGATCTTAACCGTCTGATATATGTTTCTTGGATCCAAAGGTTTAGGTTTCTTGTCATGCAAGATATCTGGAAAACAACATACCCCTTTCTCTATCTCCCTAGAACACACGGAAACTTTCCTGCAAAGAAAAACAGAGAAGAGTTCTCAACACTAATTCCTTAATCTTCTTCCTTTTTTAATCACTAAAACACTAAAGACACACCTGATCAAATCTTAAATAAAGCCTTATAACTTATAATCTCTCGTGTTTTTTGGGATCTTACCCTTTGTATCTGCCTCTAGCGTGAACGACGTAGTACCGATTTGAAGACAATGGTTGATCGAGAGCCGGTATGAACAAGACCTTCTTAACCGAAGTCTCTCTGTTACCAGAACTGTCTAAGTGAACAACTGATAAGATCTTGTCTTGAGGTAACGGAAGCTTCTCGATTTTTGTCCTCGTACACATCCCGAAACAGAACGTGTCCTCTGTTTCGGCTTCTTCATCTGTTATAACTAGAACACCGGAAAACGGACCTTCCGGTGACTCCTCCGAGAGCGTCTTCTGATATTTTCTGAACTGCGACAATGTCCTTGTCACGTACATTTTTTTGTTCTTGAGTTGTTAGAGAATTAGAGTGAGTTATGATAAGGTTTTAGTATCAATGTGAGGGATTTTATTAAAGAATTTTAACAATTTTGGGGGTGTAAATGACGAGATTATAAAGTAGTTGGGTGGCTCAATGTAACTTTTTATAATGGAGGGTAAAGTTGTGTAATTTAAGTGTTTGCTGATTGGCAAGTCTTTAACTTTGTTTTATAAAAGAAAATATAAAAAGATAAAGCTATAACAGTCACATTCCACTCTCAATTCTAAGTTAATTTTCTACTATATAAACTTTACGGCTAAGATTTTCTTTTCTTTTCAAATATTTCAGATTTATTTGGGATTTTGTCTCTCATTTATTGATGGTTTATGTTTAATTATCGGTTAAAATAAATTATTTTAATTTAAAAACAATTATGCTAAGCAAATAAAATTGTGGAGATACCTGTAGCCTGTAGCCACTCATGTGCATAGCTTTTGACATAGTGGAGAACGAAAGAGATGATAAAAAGAGGAATAAAGAAAGAAAGGAATAAAGCTATATAAAAGAAATTTGTCTTAATAAATAAAGAAAGTTCTTATGAGCATATAAGATAGTAGATTTAAAATATTTTGGATAAGACAAACAATTTAAGGTGTAAAAAGTGAACCAAATTTTCCCTACGATATTCTTAGCGTAAATTTAAAATACAGATGATGTTTTACATTTTACAATACACACGTCTACTTTGGTCTAACCTTATAAACTAAAAATCATATTTGATAACCAAGACCGTCTTTCTAAAAACTATTCCATAAAGTTCATTGGTCTAACCTCCTAGCTCTCACACACTTAAGCCATCAACTGCACATACTATATGCTCCTACAAAATATTCAAGAGATGAGGACAAATACATACTCTCGTGCGTTTTCTAGATCACTAGATGGTTTATGGAAGCATTCATCTTGACATTCGATAACATATGATTACTATCAATCTATCATATTCAGTCCTTGTTACAAACACTTGTTATCTTATCATATCCCATTACTTTCGTTTGTTCTACGCCTTCATAATTTTTACCATATATATATATATATATATACCATACCTATATATATGGCTATACCTTAATCATAAGACACAATTATGAACCATATCTAACCATGAAATTATGCAGATATGTTACGGAATTTGAGATTGTTTATGTGCTAGAAGAAAAAAGATATTTTTAAAACACCACATCTAATACTAACTTCTTTTTTTCCTAATACCAACATTATCTATCAATTAAATTGTAAACTTAATATAGATTTTTTAGGTTATCCCCGTCTGAGTTTTTTGTGTTATCCAATGCCTGAAATATATTTTAATAAGCCGGAATAGAATAAGCCAATAGTTTTGAAAAGGTGGAGCAGGAAGAAGCGTAATAGAAATGATAAAGTTTTATTATTTAGTAGACAATATTTTTGCATACATCATCCGTTATCTCACATTAACTGCTCCTATGATATTTCACATGAAATAATCTCTATATTATTAAAAGAGAAGTACAAATGTAAATGGGTCGGGTCAAAATCAGAAAATTGACCCGAAATTCTGAAATCGGATCTTTGAAATTTTTTTAGAATACAAATTCGAATTAATAATTAAAAATCAAACTAAAATCAAATGTTTATGGAAATCAAATAAAATTTGATTGTACTTATGGTAACTAATTATAAAATCATATTCCGAACAATATTATACACTAATTACGTATAATATATTTGTTCATATACTTTTGGAACTAATTCCATAATAATCAACATTTTTCTCATTAATTTTGCTTATTTTAACCAGTTATCATTAACTAAAAGATATTTTACTTGCTTCTAGAGATTTCTAGAAAATTTATCACAACTAGCCCATCTATTTTATAAATTAAATATATATTTTTTTATTTTGGTCATGTAAATTAAATAGATATGAAATCTATGTAACTAATTTTAATTTAATTAGATTAAATCGAAATTATGGTATTTTCATACTTATAGCTTACCAAAAAGTTTAATTTTCAAATTATAAAGATTTCTTGAATATGATTTTTAGAATTATTCAACAAGATGATAAATATTTATTAAATTTTGTGAATCATGAAAAATATTAATTATTTTTTAATCATTATATTTCACCTTTCAATCTCTCATCTAACAAATAAGATACATATTCTATTATTCCTATGTCCAAACTCCATTGTGTTGTATTACTAAATAATATTTCTATTAGCTGTCAAAACGAGTTGATTCATCCCGTTAAGCCTGTTTTGCAATAGGCAAAATATATTTTGGCATGTAGTTAGTCTGTCCGCATGATCCGTGGGTAGCATATATGAAACACAAACCCGTCGCGCGAATGTATGCTGATTTGCGGGGTTATCCGTGGATTTTGTTTAAATAATTTTAGAGTAACCAAAATTTAAAATTCTACTAAAATAAATAAATTAGAAAAAATTTAGAGATTATAATCTTATATATCATTATATTTATAAATATTATAATTTTATTTATTAAAAGTTTTTTAAACTACCACATGTTGAATAAATTATATTTTTATCAACAAATACTATCATGCGGGTTGATCTGCTAACTCGCGGATGAAAACCGATGACCCACTGCGAATCAATCCATGTGGTCCGCTTATTTGCGGGTTTAATATATTTTCCCAAATCTGCTCAATAGTGAGATGATTTGGGCTCGACCCGCGGTTTTTGACCTATTTTGACTGCTTTGATTCCCATGATTCGCCTAATTTTTGAATTCTAAAACACAAAATTCCATTTTGTAAATCATAATTAATATGATTGGTTTAATTATAAACAATTTAATATTTTCTTTACAATTTGTTATTAGGAATATTTATAAGTACACTACACGATTCGTTAGTATGTAAATCAATATTCTCCCGCGGTAGACCGCGGGTCCGATCCTAGTTTCAGAAATTAATTAAGAAGAACATAAAACTGAAAAACCAAAATCATCCGTTGAGGAAATTCCTTGTAAAAATTATAAACCCACGAAATAGGAATATTTCACTACGAATATCTGACATATGTGTGCTTGTACTGTTGGGTTGATTAGGTCAATGATCAAACTGTGGATCTTAATTACTAAATAAATGTAACCCAATATTTTTAGTAAATAATTCAAATGTTAAATTGAATGAGAAGAACTGAATAAAGAAAATAATTAAATCAGAAGAAAAATATATCTTGATTATGGTAAATAAGTTTTGTGAGAATGCAGAGGAATCTGATAAAGCTGGAGCACACAAAATAGCCTTCAAGTGCGTCTCATCCACGCGTCCCCAAATCTTCTCCCCCAAAGCTATTTTTCTGCGACAACCCTAATCTCCGCCGCCCTTGCCTCTCCGGTGTTTGGTTCCGACCGACACTGTGAGAGGGCTCTTGGTTACTTGCTCTCTTCTTCACATGTGCTCTTGAAGGTTCTGGAGGGTCGTTTTTTCTTTGGTTTTCGTGGTGTGTGTTGAAGGTTCTCCGTGCGCGACGGCCGGTTTTCCGGTGACTGGTTTCTCCTGCCCTCTCCCTCCACTGCCTGTAGACGGTGCTGGACAATGGTAGAGGCTCTCATCTCCGGTCCAAGTGTCTCGCTTCTCTTCGGCAGAGCAAGCTTTTGTTTGTAGATCTGCTCTAGATCTCCTTCTTCCTGGTGATTTCCGTTGGTCGAGCGTGCTTCCCTTGGCTTCGTCGTGGTGGCGTCTCTCTTCCTGGCTCGGAGTCATTTTTTCCAAGATCTCTCTTGGTCTAACCACCGCGTTTTGGCTCGTGTCTACCGGGGTCTCGGGTTTCTCTGAGTCGGGAGTTCGCCTTGAGGACAGCTTGCCCCCGCTCGCTTGAAACCTCTGTCCGCTCCGTGCGTGTCGATTTCGTGTGTTGGAGTTTGAACTGAGAGGCTTTCTTTAGCGCAGTGCCTAGTTCTCCAGCTTTGGTCAGTGTTCTCCGTTGGCCCGCTGTTGCTTCTGATGCCTCAACCTCTCTTTTCTGTTTCTCCTCCACATAGCAGAATTTTTAGGAGCATGGTTCTTGTGGCTTGTTAAGCTTTGTCGACGATTTGGATGCTCTTTGCCTCCTTTGTGCAGCTGCAATGGTGTTTTCAAGTTGTGGCGTTAGCTATCGGTGGTAGCTTGTTACCTACTACTTTTGAGATCTCCGTTTGCATTTCGGCTCTTTGGTTTTGTTCAAGACTTGTTCTTTCATATGGCTTCCTTTTAACAGTGCTTTTGTTTTGAAGTTAGCTTGCTTTCCGTGCGTTTTTCTTTGTGTTTTGGATTGAGCTTTAGAGGAGCTAGTAGGGCTAAAGACTTCTGATGCAGTGGTGATTTTTCTTATCTTGCTCTGCGCTGCTGACTTCGAGGAGGAACTTAGTTAGAGGGAGCTTGCATCTCTGGTTTTTGGCGTGTGAGGTCCCGTTTCTAGGAAAGCTCATGGATTGAATTGAAGAATCGATCTCACTTGAAGCAGGGAGAGTAAGTGATCGTTGATTTGGAGTGTTCAAACCGTTGACGGCTCGGTCTCGGGTCTCCTGCGAAAGGCTTCTGAAGCTCTTGGTCGGTCACTTTAAGGTTTTCCACTTTAAGCAAAAGCCCTTCTACTTTGCACTTTCATTCGGGAAGGATAGATCAGAACGTAATCGCTTCATCTTTTCCCTTTGCTTCATAGCTTTATTTATGGGGTTGAGAAGATGGACCGAAAACTTGGTTTTAATTAACTGTATGTTATGTTTCCATGTTTTTATTCTTTTTGTCATGGATCCATATGCATAGGTTTTCAAATCTATGTTTGTAACCTAAACTTTTTCATTTTCTATGAAATATTTACAATTTAGCAAAAAAAAAGAATGCAGAGAAAATACCATGTTACTTTATATATTTCATATAGTTATTAACGTTTTGGCATGTTGTATTTTTATAATGAAAATGACAAATGGTGTTTTTCCTAACGACGACAAGTTGCAAAGCCAAAAACTTAGAAATTTTTATTAAAAAAAGTTCTTTGATTACGATTGTATAATTTCTCGCAAGCTCTCCTTTCTCTTGTAACTGGGACTTTATAGCCAAAACTTAGTTAAAAATCTTAATTGAGCCATAAGTGAATTATGTAGTGATAAAAATGCTTCCCGAAGATATCTATCTCCAACTTGTTGACTAATATAACAAATCCATTACACTTATTATCAGTGCCGGCCCGGTAAATTTGGGTGCCCTAAGCAAAATTAAAGCCATAAAAAAAAATTCTTTTAAATTAGATTTTTATCATTAAAAAGAATGTTGTAGTTGTCTCTAAAAGCCAACAATATTTTTAAAAGGCCCTACAAAAATTATTGTATATAAGAAAACTTAACAAATTTTTAGGTAAAAAGGCCTTCAAATTTTGAGGCCCTAATCGGTGGCTTCGGTGGCTTGCCCTATGCGCCGGCCCTGCTTATTATTAAATAACTCCAAACTAGTTCGTGATTTTTAAATCGGTTACTCTAATAAGTCTCTAACAATATTGTATCTTAAAATTTACCATAGTTTTTCTTTTCTAGTCAAATGTGACATACACACATGTATGTATCTTTACAATGGAGTCAAAAGAGAAGACATCATGACGCAAAACCCCAAGTTTTGAGTAGAGTGGTTAGGGCAGTTGATGAAAGAACGTCCCTACTCTTTCCTCTTCATCTTTTATATATTAGCTTATCCTTAATTGAAAGCTAGAAAACAAAACCGCTAGTTCACATTTTTACTACTATTCAAATAATATTGTGAATACACAAGATGGCTAGCAAACTTATTGATTGAATTTATATTTTTCTTGTTTTGATGGAAATTAAATTAATTAATAAAGCAATGTAATGTATTTGGGAAGCATTTTTATCACTACATAAAATGGACCTTTAATTTTAGTTTATTGATTTTAAATAGCATTTATATCTAAAAATGTTCTATAACCAACGAAAAAACCATTAAGTAACCAACGTGGGTTGGGCTAGTGGCACTTGAGGAGGTAATTCCAATATGGTGTCCGCAGTTCGAGGGCTAGCGTTGGCCACTGCGGTATTTACATGGCGGCTGCAGGCCTCCAGGAAACACACTAAGCGTTGGGCTCGGACGGCCTGAAAGGAAACCGGCCTCAAGCCTTGGTGCTAGTCGGGCTTCGGCCCGGATACCTGGGTTATCAAAAAAAAAAAAAAAAACCATTAAGTATCCGAATTCAAATACTTTATGTCATAACAAAAAAAAAGCATCCTCTAATATACGTTTTGAATGTCATAAACTAACCAATAACCCTATGTATTACATACGTTGTAATTAATCTATATAATATTTTACACATTATATTTATGCACGCATAATCGATCCCTTATCTCAAATGTATAAATAAGACCCAACCCACCCATCATTGTTTTGCCTCCTACTTAAAAACGTACAACACAAAAACATTTAGTTAAAAACCCTCTTTTCCAATGAGAGACTCTTCAACAACTGCATCCACCAAATCCTCACCGTTATGGAAACCCTTTGCCTCAAACTGTTGTTCCGTTGACGACCAAACCATCTTTGGCAATTTCAGCCGTTGCCGACCTTCGAGATCAGAATTCTCCAAGAACCATCTCGGACCACTTCCTTCTTTCCGCCGGCTCTCTTTCACTGATCTAAGCCGGTCTTCGTCGGCTAGGATCAACGAAGATCTGGCACAGACTCTCGGAGCTGATTTAGTGGATTTTCAGATGTGTGAACTGAAGATGATCACTCAGAGTTTCTCCGGGAACTATCTTCTAGGAGAAGGTGGGTTTGGTAAAGTGTATAAAGGTTATGTTCATGAGAATCTCCGACAAAGCCTCAAGGCTCAGCCTGTTGCTGTCAAGTTATTGGACATTGAAGGGCTTCAAGGACATCGTGAATGGCTTGTAAGAACGTATATCAATAATTGCATATCAAATTCATTATCGAGGTTTTTTCCTTTGCACAATGTTAATGTTCCGTGATTATTTATTTAGTTATGACATAATTGATACGCATATGCATATGTTTTAAGTTATAGGACATCCCAAATAGAATTCTAGAGAAACAAACCACTCCTCATGATTTTTATATTTCTAAGTCAAATATCCTTTGGGCTCATTTATCTTTAAATACTTTAGGGTAAGAAACTATATTAAAAAATGTGTTTGGTCATAATATGGATTAATTAAGTACGCATATATATGATCTTGTCGTTTCTTTTTTTGGTGTCACGTACATAGTAAGAGAATCTTTTTCTTGTTAGCATGATACAATAGTTGGTGAGACCACTTTGATATACTATTATACACGTATCTTCTTAATTTACTCTCTTAAGAATATGATCAGTAACATTTGATTCATAATTATTATATATGTTTATGGTTCATATGCAGTCTGAGGTCATACTTCTTGGACAATTAAAGCACCCGAATTTAGTCAAACTTATTGGCTACTGCTGCGAAGAAGAGGAACGAGTACTCATCTACGAGTTTATGTCACGTGGTAGCCTAGAAAATCACCTCTTCAGACGTAAGACACATTTTTAATGATTAAGTAGTCCCATTTTATTTAATGATTAACTAAAGAGTAATTTTATTGTATTAAGTGATCAGTATTTCATTTTGCATTCATATTGACGTAATGAAATTGTCAGGGATATCACTATCGTTGCCGTGGGCGACGCGGCTGAAGATCGCGGTCGCAGCTGCTAAGGGTTTGGCGTTTTTGCATGATTTGGAGAGTCCAATCATTTACCGTGATTTCAAAACTTCTAATATACTACTTGATTCGGTAATTTACTAAATTTAGTTTGATTTTTTTTTTCAGCTTACAAATGATAATAAATATATTTTTTAAAAATATTTCTTATTTTTACATGGGGTTTTTCAGGATTTTACTGCAAAACTCTCAGATTTTGGTTTGGCAACAATGGGGCCAGAAGGATCCAAATCTCATGTCACAACTCGAGTCATGGGTACTTATGGTTATGCTGCTCCTGAATATGTTTCAACAGGTTTATACACAATCATTTTCTATCTTGCTGTCTTTCAACAATTCTTTTTGGTCAACTTTTTCAACAATTCTTTTTGGTCAACTTTTTCAACAATTAAATTTAAGCATATATTAATTTAAGTTCAACAGAACATAATTACAATAAGTAAAACACATAAATCTGAATGAGTGAACATTTAATCTTATGGGATTATCAATAAATTATATTTGATTAATTATCTAACGCATGCATGGGAGCAATATTTTCAGGGCATTTAACGACAAAGAGTGACGTGTATAGTTATGGCGTCGTTTTACTCGAGCTCCTAACGGGAAGAAGAGCCACAGAAAAGGCACGACCAAAAAACCAGCAGAACATCATCGACTGGTCAAAGCCTTACCTAACGAGCAGCCGCCGTCTCCGATGTGTTATGGACCCAAGACTCGCCGGGCAATACTCAGTCAAGGCGGCTAAAGATACAGCTCTTCTCGCATTACAATGTGTGAGCCCTAACCCTAAAGACCGGCCCAAGATGCTTGCCGTAGTGGAAGTTCTAGAGAGTCTCATGCATCATAAGGACATGGCGGTTTCTTCGGGTCACTGGCCACTTTCTCCTAAATCTCAAGGCGGAAAGGTTTCGGCGAAGGTTCGAGGGGATAATCGGAGTGGTAGGAAATCAGCTCCGGGTTCGTTAAGATCGTGAACTAAATAGGGTTGAATGAACTTTTTTTTTTTTATAATAACATGTGGTGTGTGTATGTGTGTATATGGTCATACGTATCTAAAGTGTGTGACATAGTGAGAGAAATATGACTCCCACTACGAAAAACAATGCTATGAACATAAAAAAACTATAGTAGATTAGGATCGCACATGTTTTTGTATAAAATATTTAATCCAATTGGCTTTGATATGTTTTTGCCATTTTCACACCCGTAGATCATTCATGGTCTATAGTATTACTTGATTGGATCTAGTAAATATCATATCATCTAACATATATATGTCTGCGTAACGGTAAGTAGTCGGCTGGTAGACTTTTTCTTAGAACATGGCGTAAATTTGAATCTTCTCTTTTACTTTTGGAAGCATGGGTTGGGCTTCGGTCTATTTGAAAACTTGATAAACTAAGAACATCTCCATTGAACTTGATAGTCATTTGTTATGGTTAGACTATGTTCTAATGATTGTGATAGAAACGATTATGTTTAATGTTCCAAATAAAAATTATTAAGGATAGCTTGTTAAACTTTTGTTTCCGTAGTTTGATAGATTGAGGTTCTTCTAGATGAAACTACAAAAGTTTAATGCAATATTTTGGATATTATGCTAATCAAATTAATACGAATGGGCCGGTCTACTTGAACCAAACCACAAACCAAGCCCATAATATATTGGCGTAAGCCCATAATTCAGAAACCCTAGGTGTCCCCAAAAGTATAAATACCTTATTTCCACTACACATTTTACCACAAACCTAAATTTCTCTCCTCGTATCGCCGACTCGAGTCTTAAGGTACACAAAGCTTCTCTTGATTTGAATTTGCGTTTAGAGTTCTTTTGATCTTGCTTCGTGACATTGGTTTATCTCTTACCTTTCGTAAATTGTCTACGTTGATCTTAGTTTCACATTCTCTAGCTGCTTAGGTTTTGTTGTACGTTGTAAAAATGTGATCTTTTTGGTTATGATATGCTCTCAAGTTGTTCTGGTTTGTGATTCAAAATGAAAACCCTCGGAGATACTTAATAAAATCAAGGCCGGAGTCTCTGATCTGCTCTTTTTGCTGGAATCCAGATTTATCTGGTTTTTAAGTGAGAAACACTCTTATAGAGCTTGAGATTTGGCTATCTTAAATGATGCCATCGGCCTTTGATCGAGGGAACATTTCGTTTCATTTTTCCAGAATTCTTTAAGAGTTTATCTTATCTTGTAATGATTTCTCTGTAAAGTCCTGATTTTTACTTGTACTTAGCTGATTTGATTGTTGATCTTAAATTGAAATAGGTTTATTTATTTATTGGTACAGATTTGATATCTGGTAGTACATGGTGTGTATCGCTGTAATTTTTCTGCTTTTGCTTGATTATGTCAATAGGATTGGATTTTGGATGTTGTCTCATGTTTATGTAATCTGGTAATAATTGGTGTTCATTGATATGAGTTTTTGCGTATGTATATTGGACCGTTCTTGTCACCTTTTTGTTCAGATTGTGACTGTTTGGTTATGTCATTTGATTTGATGTTGTTCTTTTGGTATATAATTATATCTTATGTTCTAATGTTTGTTTCTGGTTTAAAGAATGTCTCACAGAAAGTTTGAGCATCCAAGACATGGTTCTTTGGGTTTCCTTCCAAGGAAAAGAGCTAACCGACACCGTGGAAAAGGTAATTGTGCTAAAGATTGTTATTATAAGCATATGCTATTTGCATTCATTCAACAATTTCGTGCAGTTTCTGTATCTTTTCTATATTATTTTGTTTTTGAAGCTGTCTGCTGTTCTGTCTATACTGTTAGCAGAAATTATAACTTGTGTTATGTCTCACAAATTGTTTTCAAAGCATCTTAATTTCATATTGCTTGTGAAGTTCTGATCCGATATGTTTTGATTGTGTTTCCAGTGAAGGCCTTCCCTAAGGATGATCCAACTAAGCCTTGCAGACTCACCTCCTTCTTGGGATATAAAGCTGGGATGACTCACATTGTGAGAGAGGTTGAAAAGCCTGGATCAAGTATGTTCTCATTCTCTTAACTTATTGATTCACTGACCTTATACTAATGATATATGTGACTTTTGTGCTGATCTTTATCTACTTTATTGCCAGAGCTCCACAAGAAGGAAACATGTGAAGCTGTGACTATAATTGAGACACCTCCAATGGTGGTTGTTGGTGTGGTTGGGTATGTGAAGACACCTCGTGGTCTGCGTTCTCTAAGTACTGTGTGGGCTCAGCATCTGAGTGAAGAAGTGAGGAGGAGGTTTTACAAGAACTGGGCCAAGTCTAAGAAGAAGGCTTTCACTAAATACTCAAAGAAACATGAAACTGATGAAGGTAAAAAAGACATTCAAAGTCAATTGGAGAAGATGAAAAAGTACTGCACTGTCATCAGAGTTCTTGCTCACACTCAGGTATTTCCATCATTCTTAAAATGGACAATAATTTTTTTAGTTTCATTTTGTTTGATTTGTTTCTGATTCCTTTGGATATGCATCAGATCAGGAAAATGAAAGGGCTAAAGCAGAAGAAGGCACATCTGAATGAGATTCAGATCAATGGTGGAGATATAGCAAAGAAGGTTGACTATGCCTGCAGTTTATTTGAGAAGCAAGTTCCTGTAGATGCTATCTTCCAGAAAGATGAAATGATCGATATCATTGGTGTCACCAAAGGAAAAGGGTATGAAGGTGTGGTAACAAGATGGGGTGTGACCCGTCTTCCAAGGAAGACTCATCGAGGACTCCGAAAGGTGGCCTGCATTGGTGCTTGGCATCCAGCTAGAGTCTCCTACACAGTGGCTAGAGCTGGGCAAAACGGGTACCACCACCGTACTGAGATGAACAAGAAGGTTTATCGGGTTGGGAAAGTTGGCCAAGAGACTCACTCAGCCATGACCGAGTATGACAGGTAATAAAACTAACGATCTTGGTATGTTTCAGTCATCTGTGTAGGAAGTGTGCATGTGTTCATGTGCTGTTTCCTGTTTTCTTTTGAACAGAACCGAGAAGGATATCACACCAATGGGGGGATTTCCACACTATGGGATAGTGAAGGAAGATTATTTGATGATCAAGGGAGGTTGCGTGGGGCCTAAGAAACGTGTGGTGACTTTAAGACAGACTTTGTTGAAGCAGACGTCTAGGGTTGCTACGGAAGAGATCAATATTAAGTTCATTGACATGTCTTCCAAATTTGGGCACGGTCGTTTCCAGACTTCTCAAGAGAAGGCCAAGTTCTATAATAAAGCGATCAAAGCTTAGGTTTTTATTTTTCAAATCCCTTTAAAACATTGTTTTGTCTTCTAAGTAATTGTTGTTTTTCTAGTTTCTTTCTTTGTTGTTTGGTCGGAGTTCTTCTGACAGTTGTTATGTCTCTTCCTTTATTTTGGATTTTATCTATAAGTTCTATGGTTTAACAGTTGCTCAAACATAGATTTCATTTTCTTTATGGTATGGCCTCAACTACCATTTCGATCAGACCATAGTGAGCTTTAAACATCCATTATATCCTAATTCAAGTTTTGCTCATCATTGTAATTCCACTCTTTATGATATACAACTCCTTCATACCCCAAAGTAAAGTGATACATAGAATGATCTCGGTTTCTCGGTATAGGTGACTAACACCATTCCTTGGCAGACGTTATAAGCGGAACAAGTAGGCAATTCGTTATCAAGAACGACTATAAAAGCCTGACCGTTCCTGGTTCGCCACGGATGAACTCTGTTTTTCTTGATTGAAATCTCTGGGAAAGGTAGAGGAATAAGGCAAAATGAATAATTTCCTAGTGAAGGTCCTGTAATGCTTTTCCAAGAAGTAAAAATGAGTCATGTGGGGATGCTTGAAGTTTATTGATGTTGAATTGAAATGTGGATACCAATAAGCAGGCCCATTAATAAATTAAATAAAAAGGCTTCAAGGCCCAATATCTCAAAACCTAGTCCGATGATGTTTTCTCTAAGCTATTTTAGGAGGTGGAAGAGGTTTTAGGGTTTTATTCATCGCAGAAACTCGACTTTGAGAGAAAAAAAAAAATGGATTCATACTCTTCGCCGCCGGTGGGAGGTGGTGCTTCGCCTTCGCCCGAAGTACTGATGGAGCAGGTCAAGACACAACTCGCTCAAGCTTACGCCGAAGAGTTCATCGAGGTCTAAATCTTTTTCCTAATTCCTCTGAAAATCTTTGAATTCGCCTACCAATCTCGAAGTTTGTCTGTGAATCAGTAGTTCTTTAATATCTCCAAGGATTCTGAATTAAAGTTCCAATCTTTGAAATCTTCGACCAATTTGACTCTCTTTTTGTACACAAAGTTAACTTTTTTCGACCAATCCAATGTGATTTTAGTAGTTTTCTGTTATGAACCAACCTTGTTTCCATGGATTCTCAATGTTGTTGTATTAAAGTTTGGTTTTTTGTTGTTGTTGTGCAGACTGTGAGAGTAAAATGTTTTGATAAGTGCATAACGAAGCCAGGATCAAGCCTCGGTGGGAGTGAGAGTAGCTGTATTTCGAGATGCTTTGATCGTTACATTGAAGCTACTGGAATCATAAGTCGTTCACTTTTCACCCAACGTTGAATCAATACTACCTCTTATGTTCTAATGATCGTGGTTGGTTTTATTCAGATTAAAAAACAAAATTACATTGGTTTAAGGTTGAAGATTTACAGCTATCAACTTGCATTCGAGAATGGTTATGTTTCTATGTTGTTATGTGGTTCAAACTTGTTTTAGTACGAGTTTCATTGACTTGGGTCATATTGTTTTTCTAGTATATGCTTAGTATTAGCATCGGAACTATAATGTCGGTAAGCTCGTTGGAATGCAGATTTATGCATAAGAGTATAACTCTGTGTGTAAGTTTCCTTGACAGTTGAGTTCTGTGCCAATAATCTTAGCTCTATCTATGTAATGTATGATCCGTTCATGATCCTTAGTCTACACTATAGAAAATTATAGAAGCACACTAGAAATTGTTGCTGATCTTGTTTTTGATTAATTGTTTTGGCACACATTAAGGTGTACTCGGATGGAACATCTATGAATTCCGATGTTAATCCAATCGCCATCTTTAGATCATTCGACATATAACTTGAACATGATCATTAAGCAAAGTTAGTATCCTTTGTTATAGGTTTAACTGTGTGTGGTTCTTCCAACGTCCTTGCGAGGACGGGCTTTTTTTGGTTGATTCAATCTAAGTTCTCTCTTGAAAAGGCAAGATGACTAGAATTAATAAATTGCTATTGACAATCAGATTAAAGGCTACCAAACAAAACCAATCGTTCTTTGTTTTAGAGATAAGTCACCCAAATTATGAACTTTAAAGCATCCATCAGTTTCAAAATTGTAGGAATTTTTTTTCACTAAAATCTATCTATTTTTCACGTTGTGACTCCATCTCAGCCAATGTTCGAGCTACATCAACCTTCCCATCACTCGTTGAAGCTCTGTGTCATACTCTCATATCTCCTCTGTTTTAAAACTCCGAATAACCTTGAAGGCTTGATCTCTATCACTCTTTCAAGCTGTAGATGATCTTTTTCGACATCCGTTCAAATTCCGACATTTCTCGCATCTCTTCGAATTTGTTGTTGTAAGGTTTTTAATTTTGATTCCAGGCTCTCCAAATTTCATGTTTTAAAAGTGTCTTTGCTAAATACACAAGTCTTCACAAAACTTTAGTCATTTTATCTCGAAGAGAAATTATTAGATCCTTCGAAATATGTAACATTAGATTGGAACATGGGATATATATTTCAATACACTTATATCTTTGCAGCCTCATGATATATAGTGGCCTTATTTACATCATAACTGATTCGAGAAAATGCGAAGACGAAGCAAACCAGTTAAAACTTCATTACCACAATCCTTAGTCAAGTGTCAAGACTGTATTACTACTTTTTGGCTTCTGCTTATATCGTCGTTCTATCGATGACTAAGTCGCTTGGAATAGTAAATTCGACTTCGGCTTATTTTAGCCTTAATTTACAGCTTCAATCTTTGAGGGTAAGAAGCTAATTATAGTCACTGCAAGATAGCATTTTGTATTATTTTGAGGAGCCTAAATTTTAAGAAAACATTATCAATTTTTTTACTAAAAGCATCATTGTTTACTAAAAACTATGCGGTAACTAATCATAATCCAAAAATAACAACATTTGAAATCCATCTCTTCTCTACTATATAAACACCAATAAGAGTTTCTTCATAATCCCACAGAGCCAATTCCAAATACAATTAAATACATAAATAAATAAATTGAGCTCCTAATCGGGGTTTCTTTTAAAATTTATTTATTTGTTTAATCTACTTGGAAAACAACATATAATATTTAGTAATAACATGGGGATGTCTAAAAGTGTCAAGATTATTCTATCACTCGTTCTTGTAGTGTTCTTGGCTCTTGCAGCGACCAAGACTGAGGCAAAAGTCATAGATTACCGTGGTCTTTCTCGCGGTGATCACAGTAGGAATTGTGATCGAGCGAACCCTGCCTCATGCAAGAAGCAAGAAGCGAATCCTTACAGGAGAGGATGCGAAACGACCCTACATTGCCGTGGTGGCACTCCAGACAACCCAAAGCGTTAAATCAACCAACCAATCCAAGCACACAAAATATACATCAATACTAGTTTCCTATTTATTAAGAATGTGTTGACAGGCTTCTGATTCGAGTACCACTCTTGGTTATCTGTATACACACATACAATACATCCTCATATTTATATGTTAATGAGATTATTTATAGTATATTTTTTGGGCTTTGTAATTGATTGTAACCAGATGTTATGATCGATCATATATAAATATATTTCAGTTATTATCCGGTATTTTAACAATCTTACGAGCTATTATTCACTTTCTTATACACATTTGAGCGATTATCATACTTTTTGGCACAATATAACATGTCAAGAATTATGGAATATACAATGATTATTCATCTCTACGATGGAATTCAAAAAAGTAAACCCAAGTCTTAAACTACATAGTTTGTTTCATGTTCTAAATTCTCATATAAAATAAAAACTTTAAGTAAAACATATTAGACGATCAATTGTATTCAGTTTACTACAATTTGTGCAAACCACTGTTCTAAAATATTACTTATTTATGACAAATTTAAGAAAAAACTGCCTAAAAAAAACAGTAAACAAGTATATGACTTAAATAATGAGAGAGAACTTTAGAAATAACCAAGAATATTCAAGTTTGGAGGATTTGACTAACATGAGTAAATATTGGGATAATTAATGTATATAATTTTGATACAAATCAATGACATGTTGTAGAAAATTTTAGAAACAATTGTATATTTTGATATAGATAGAGGACGTTTTTCTTTCAATATGTATAAGGAAAATGAATTCGTTCTAACAATTATCCTAGCGTCTTATGGGAATATACAATGATTAGTCATCTCTAGGAAGTTTTGGTTTAATTACCGTCTTAAGCTTCAATGTTTTTATCTTTTTTACAATGGAACCATGTGTGTAGGTTTCTAATCTTTAGATTGTGACCTAAACTATTTTTCATTATCTATGAATTATTTACAATTTAACAAAAAAAGAAAAGAAGAAGAAGATTCTAGTGTTAGACTCTTGTATTTTTGGATTCAATATTTGGTCATCTAGCAAGACAATTAATTAAGTATCTGTACATTCTTACAAAAGAACCTCTCCAAAAACCCTTCAAAGTATGCTAAAGAGCAAACTCCAATCGAGGAGCTTTTTGCTTCAGTAGGGTAGTAGGAAATGTTGAATGCAAAAAAATTCTTTTATATGTACACAAATTTTTACTATAATTCTAGAAACTTTTTTCTTAAAAATGATTTTCTATTTTAAATTGACGAGTCTTTGTTCAAATATAGTTCGTGTAACTCACGTCAATATAAACATTATGGAACTCTTTAAAATCAACATTCGTTTACTAAAATATATGTGGTTACTAATCATCATCCAAATACAACCAAGTTTAAAATTATCTGTTCTCTACTATAAAAACATCAACTAGTGTTTGTTCATACCATAGAGCCAATTTCTGATACAATATTAAATATATAAATAATACAAACTGAATTCCTAATCGGAGTTCTTTTTATAAATTTATTATTTATTTATTGTGGAAGAAGAAGAATAAAATATGGGGATGTCTAAAAGTATCAAGGTTATTCTATCTCTTGCTCTCGTCGTGTTTTTGGCCCTTGCATCAATCAAGGTTGAGGCCACAAGATACATAACTTATCCTAGTATAAATCATGGAGATCATGCTACACATTGTGATAAAGCCCACCCTAACACGTGCAAGAAGAAAGAAGCAAATCCTTACAAAAGAGGATGCGAAATACTCGAACGTTGCCGTGGTGGATCCACCCCAAGAGCATAAAATATACATCAATACATTATTTATATACACACTTGACATCCTCATATTCATTTTTAATGAGATTATTTATAGTCTATTATTGGCTTTGTAATTGATGTAACCAGATGATGTTATGATCAATCATATATAAATATACTTTAGTTATTATCCGATGTTTTAACTAATCTTTCGAGCTATTTTTACTTTCTTCAGTTCCTTGCATACATTTGAGCGATTATCATGCTTTTTGGCACAATAATATGTCAAGAATTATAAGAACATACAAGGGTGGAATATAAAAAAGTAAACCCGAGACTAAAATTACATAGTTTGTTTCATGTTCTAGATTCTCATACATAGTAAAAACTCTTAGTAAAACACACTGCAATTTTTTGAAACGCGCGGCTGCCTAGACGTTGGTCTATTATTACATGATCAATTTTATTCAGTTTACTAGATTTGTGCAAACCATTGTTCTAATATGTTATGTATTGATGACATATTTTTAATTGTAAGCTTAAATTAATTGCCAAAGAATACTTTAATAAATGTATGACTTAATTAATTGAGAGAGAACTTTACAAATAACCAATAATATTCAAGTTTGGTGAATTTGACTAACATGATGAGTATATATAGGGATAATGAGAAAATTAAATTTTGATATAGATAAATGACATGTTATAGAAAAAATAAAAAAACAATTGAATATTAGTTATTGCAAATTTTAAAATCAAATAAGTTATTCCTCTGTGCCCACTTTGTTTTTATTTTTTTGTTTTTTAATTATACTGGTAATCCAAAGGAAGATAGCAAGAGAATGTACGAGCAAAAAAGGGTATAGGATTGGATATGATGGCGCCGAGAGCAACAAAAGCTAAAGACATCGAGCAAACAAATGTGAAGCACAGCGCGCCCAGGCCCAGCATCTACAATGCATCATCCATCTGTGGCTTAGGAATGATGGATAGAGGCAGCGACAACCAAGCTAGTCAAACTATAGACATATTGTCAATCTAAATAGTTATTTTATAAAGATACAAATCCCTAAACTAAATTAATTTCTTTCAAACATATGCAAATTCTATAAATAGTTTTCTAGAAACCTATTTTTTTTGTCTTTTCTGTTTTAAACAGACGTATCTTTATTTCTACTAAAAACAACATTCATTTACTAAAATATATGTGGTTACTAATCATCATCCAAATATAACTAAGTTTGAAATCCATCTGTTCTCTACTATATAAACACCAACTAGCTAGCACTTGTTCATAATCCCACAGAGCCAATTTCCGATACAATATTAGATATATAAATAACATAAACTGAACTCCTAATTGGAGTTCTTTTTATAAATTTATTATTTATTTATTCCGGAAAAAGAACGATAATAATATGGGGATGTCTAAAAGTATCAAGGTTATCCTATCTCTTGCTCTTGTAGTGTTCTTGGCCCTTGCAACAACCAAGGTTGAGGCCACAAGATACATATCTTATCCTAGTATTAATACTGGAGATCATGCTCCACATTGTGACAAAGCCCACCCTCACACCTGTTGGAAGAAAGAAGCAAATCCTTACAGGAGAGGATGCGGAGTGCTCGAAGGTTGCCATCGTGAAACTGGTAGAAAATGAATCAGTTAAGCCACCCAATATTCATCGTGTTGACATGTTTCTCATTGGAGTACCTTGGTTATATATCTGTATACACACTTTACATCCCCATATTCATTTGTTAATTTGGCTTTGTAATTGATTGTAATCACATTGTGTTATCATCAATCATATATATATATATATATATATATATATATATATATATATATATATATATATATATTTTAACAATATTTCGAGCTATTTTTCAATTTCTTTTATACATTTGAGCGATTATCATACTTTTTTTTTTCTCAAAGGAAGAACACAACGAAGAGGTTTCGTAAATCGATAACTAACTAAATTCTTTTATTAACTCATGTGTGGTGTGGTAAGTAAGGCGGTTGATGATTTGGGTTTCATAGCATAATAAACTCGAAGAGGTTTCACTTTTTGATTTCACTTTCAACAAATGCGTGTGTGGCCACATGAACTTTTGAGCTTTGACGACCCAAATGTTTTTATCCGAAGTGGGTCTGCCAAAAAGCTCTTGTCGAAAGACTTGCTCACCTCTAGATTAATAGGGCTTGACCCGGACATTGGTGCCAATAGGAAACAAAAATGGATAATCAAAAAAATACCAAAAGATGTTAGCTAGGATAGGAAAAAGTGTTAAGTGAGTACAACAAATGTCTTAACATCTAATAACAAGTAACAAAGTACACAATTCATTTACAATTGAGCTTGTTTGCACTCTTCAAGGAAAAAAAAAATTGTATGCAGAAATTTCTTCCAAGCAGGAAACATTTTTTGTTTTCGCGATTTGCAGTAGCTAATTAACCATGCACGTTTGCAATTTGTAAGATTGACGTTGAGATCACAGCCCACAGGGACTGGTGAGATTAAAAGCATGTTAGAGTTTTGTAAGGTAAGTACGACCGGGGGTAATACACATACTGAATTGCTATTCGTCATTAATAAATGTTATCACGACATTACATCATTTGTAGTAGACATGTATGTATTGTCGTTTGTTACAATATTTTCTTACCAGAGTAGTATTCAGTATAGACGTCAATGCATAAAATTATAGATGTACCAACGTATATATAGTACCATGTGCATGGTTATATCAATATTAGTTTTAGGTTTGTTATAATGCAAATTAGTCGTTGTAGAGTAGAGCCATGTCTACATTGCATTGAAAAATGTAATGCTATGACACATGTTTACAAGACATGTTATGACTAGGGTTTGCCAAAATATATAAATACTTGATTTGATTAGTTATATGCAGTGTTCTAAAAAGCGGTCTAGGCGGTCGCCTAGGCCCCGACTAGGCGCTAGGCTCTCATGCGACGCCTAGATAACCGCCTTGACCGCCTAAAATTACATAGATCTTGTTTAATGTATTTTTTCAATTTTAATTAGAATTTTATTTATATATATAGTTATAAATATTTATATATTGTTTAATATAAATATAAATAAATGTTTTGTCTAGTTTTTGTTTATAATTTCATATTTTTTAGTTTTATATAGATATTTTATATAACTTTTATATATAATATCATATTTATAATGTTTTATGTTATAAACGTCTAAACCGCCTAAAAATTGCCTAGGTCCCGATTAAGCGTTCTAGTCGCTAGGCACTGGGTCACCGCCCGCTTAGCGCCTAACGCTTTCTTGAACACTGGTTATATGTCCAAATCCGTTTGAAACTATGACACCAATTACAAATTGTTTACCATTATATACAAACTACAACACCATATTTATAATAAAACCAAAATTTAAGTAAACATGAATTAGAAATATTTCACCAAAAATTTTCTGTAAAATTTCCAAAATATAATAATAAAAAAAAATGCTGGTTCTTAAACCTTGACTGCATATAGTAAAATATAGTAGTAATATCATGTGAAAGTGTTGACTTTTTATAGCATTAGAAGTAGGTATATAACTCCCTCATATAATTACTCTAAATAAACTAATTGCCCAAATGATGCAATTATGTTGTATTAAATTAAAAGTTAATTAAACCTTCACTGGATGCATAGCCAAAATAGTCATATAATAATATGTAATCAACACTCGATGTAGCTATCAATCTCTTTAACGCACCCAACCGATATTCAACAATGTTGTTTTTATTTTTCATATGGTTATTTAATCACCTCGACTTTTTTGGCATCGATCACATCTACAAATAATTGTTAGTTAGCACGACCGTTATTATTACTTTATGAAGAATTGCTAATCTGAAAATATCCTTTCGATATATCAGTTGGAAATATATATTTAAATATTTGTTCTGAAGAGCTTGCGGCTGAGTCAAATATAATAATTTGAAAACTAAAGAGGGTGATGATTGACAAAATCACAAGATGACTTTAGAGGCTGAAACCTTTTTTTTGAAAAAAAACCAAGTTCTTAAGAACACATAGAACTATGTGTGGAATGAAAACATATTTCTACCAAATATTTTCTTTTTACCAAATTATTTTTTTGTTACCCAATTTTTTTTTTTTTTAAACACACGGCTCTAAACGAGTTTTGTATGATACAGATTTATTATTATAGGTTGTATCGATCTCTTGGACTTTAAATATCATTGACGATCTTGACAAACAAAAGCTGGCAGCTCAATGAATTTGTATTTATAATAGTGAGAAAAATATGAGGGAATTGGGATCCAATATTGGATATAGCTAGGATTCGCTTTAGTACTGTATCTCGATCTGAAACTCTCATTTTATGATGTTGCTTATGATCTGGATTGTTTCAAACGACCATTTCTGAGTTTTCGTGTATACATGTAAACCAAAGTTTAAGAAAATACTATATTTCTTAAATATTAAACATTCACATATTTTCAAAAAATATCTTTGTAAATTACACATCAGAATGGAAGGAGTCTGTTTGCGTTTAGAACAAAAATTAAATAAATTATTTAAGACTGCTAGAGCTTCAAATATCGATTTTTAGATAATTCGACTCTCTTATATCGCTATTTTGTAATTAGTTTATACAGAAATATTAGCATACATATATTGTTAGTGTGAGGTTTTGAAAACTGCCTTTGGTCACGGAGGGCAATTTTGAGTTTATGTTGCACTCTGCAATTTTCGTTTTTCGGTGGTAATTTCATTTCGTCTCTCCGTTCTTTTCGTTGTTACTTATTATATTCTATTTTTTTTTATCTGTATTGTAGTTTTTCAGTCTTTTTCGCTTCCCATATTTCTTTTTAACGTCTATAATAAATGAAAATAGTATTTAGCGGTAGAAGCAGGTGAGGTTGTTCGTTTGGTCACCGCAGGTATCTGCGGCATAACGCTGTGTTCTGCGGCTAAAAATTTTGGACGCTAATTAAAGTCAGCGTCAAACGATTAAAAACTGTGGTTATCGCTGCCGAGCTGCCTAAGGCGACAAAACGAACAATAACTTACGATAATGTTTGCTGCCGCCTGCGGCGACGAAACGAACAGACTAACTATAAAACTTAGTCTTTTATCTTAAGAAAAAAATATTAACATATAATATTATTTTAGAAAAAAGGAAAAATGTATTACCATATAAAAGATTCCTGTAGGAGGAAAAGTTTACACAGAAATATTAAATTGTAAATAATTAAATAAATAAATACGTCGATAAAATAAATAAAAACTCACCAAAGTCCATATTCCATAACACAGCATGTTTTCAGAAAAAATAGTTCATATATTGGTTTCAAAGTCTTTGACTTTGAAAGTTTGAACATTTCAAGGTTCGCCTACTCGCCGGTCTTCTTCTTTCAGCTTCGTCTCTCTGTTTATATAAGAACAGAGATACGTATTCGATGATTGCAAAAAACCAAAAAAAAAAAAGAAAGAAAATTATTTATCTCTTCTTTAGAATTCTGTGGAAAGTACTCTATTTAATAAGAGAGAAAACTACAAAAGGAAAGCTCTTTGCTTGGAATTGTTCTGTGGAGCTCTAATGGCGGATCAAGTTAAAGAAAAGACATTAGAGGAAACTTCTACATGGGCCGTTGCGGTGGTTTGCTTCGTCTTGCTTTTGATTTCGATTGTTATTGAGAAACTTATTCATAAACTTGGATCCGTAAGTCTCTTTCTTAACTTCTTCTCCTCCTTCAAGATTCTCTGTTTCTTGCTCTGTTTCTGTATCTGTTTAGTTCTTCCCAAAAATTAAACTGGATTGATCTCACAAACTTACATCAGTTTATGTTTTGAAACTACCAAAACCCAAAAGGGTTTTACAGTTTTTTTCTTTGTATTTGTGTCGGTTTCGTAATATCCTCTGTTTCTAATACTAAACAAAACTCTGTTTGTGTGTTTCTTCTTACAGTGGTTTAAGAGTAAGAACAAAAAAGCTCTATATGAAGCACTTGAAAAAGTGAAAGCAGGTAAATTTATTATTAATTTAAAATCTATTATAAAAAGAAACAAATTTCTTAAAGATTATTTTAATCATCTTTAGTTTTTGGTTAATTAAATGTTAATTTGCAGAGCTTATGCTGATGGGATTCATATCACTACTGCTCACAATTGGACAAGGATATATCTCAAATATTTGCATACCTAAGAACATCGCAGCATCGATGCACCCTTGTAGTGCATCCGAAGAGGCGAGAAAGTACGGTAAGAAAGATGCTGCAAAGAAAGACGGAGAAGATGGAGAAAACTCGCGTCGAAAGCTTCTACAGTTAGTTGATTCTCTTATTCCTCGAAGGAGTTTGGCTACCAAAGGTTATGACAAGTGTGCAGAGAAGGTAAATTCTCTAACTATATATAGAAATCTTTCTTTGTAAGAGCCACTAGTGTGACCCTTTTCTAATGTTTATTTCCAGGGAAAAGTCGCTTTTGTATCGGCTTATGGTATGCATCAGCTGCATATATTCATCTTTGTTCTTGCGGTTTGTCATGTGATCTACTGCATTGTTACTTATGCTTTGGGCAAGACCAAGGTAAGTTCTTTTATATACATCCGCTTTGTGATCACACCGGTTGAGATTTTGCTTCGTTTCGCTGAAGATTGGAATTTTTCTATCTTATGGAAGATGAGAAGGTGGAAGAGGTGGGAAGAGGAGACGAAGACAATCGAATATCAGTATTCACACGGTATATATTACAAACTTTGAATTGATACATTTAAAACTTGAGTGTGAAGTGTTAACGAGGAATGTTGCGAATAATGTAGATCCCGAGAGGTTTAGGTTTGCGAGGGATACATCTTTCGGGCGTAGACATCTAAACTTCTGGAGCAAATCGACTATTACGCTGTGGATTGTATGTTTCTTCAGACAGTTCTTTAGATCTGTAACCAAAGTTGATTACTTAACACTGAGACATGGTTTCATCATGGTATAAGTCAAATCTTTCGATCTTTAAATTTTTGTTGTATTAAAACTTATCTCTCAAGGCAAAGATCTTACAGCATTGCACGAATGCTTCTTCGCTTTCTTCTATTTCAGGCCCATTTGGCTCCCGGGAGCGACGCAAGATTCGATTTCCGAAAGTATATTCAGAGATCATTAGAGGAAGACTTCAAAACCATTGTCGAGATCAAGTATGGAACTAATTACGATTACAAACTCCATCAGCTCACTAATTACTACTTAATCTGATGTTTCAAATGTGCTTATACCTTCAGTCCTGTGATCTGGTTCATCGCCGTGTTATTCCTACTGACAAACACACACGGTACATACACTCATTTCAAAACGTCGCTACATCGATATCTTTGTAAAAACCTTCAACAATCCAAAACTAATAAAAAATTTTCTGCTTTTCTAATGAACAGGATTGAATTCTTACCTCTGGTTACCGTTCATTCCATTCGTCGTAAGCAACAAACAAACCCTTTAAAAGAAACCTATTTGTTTTGTTTCGGTTTCGACTCTGTAACAAGAACGAATGTATAAACAAACTGCAGGTGATTCTTATTGTTGGGACAAAACTTCAAGTGATAATAACAAAACTGGGACTACGAATCCAAGAGAAAGGTGACGTAGTGAAAGGCACACCGCTAGTTCAGCCCGGTGATCATTTCTTCTGGTTCGGTCGTCCACGTTTCATTCTCTTCCTCATTCACTTAGTCCTCTTCACGGTATACATTCATCTTTACTTTCTGCTCTCTCTCCTTACAACAACCGCGAAAAACACCTGAAATTTAACCATACCTTTTCGCCATCTGTAGAACGCGTTTCAACTCGCTTTCTTTGCTTGGAGTACGGTAAGCAAGCAATTCTGCATTCTCCACAGACTTAAAACGTAATAATACCAATTCAATCATCATTTCATCAAAACCATTTGCTTTTATCTCTTCAGTATGAATTCGGTCTAAAGAACTGTTTCCATGAAAGCAGAGTAGATGTGATCATCAGAATCTCAATCGGGTAAGTAAAAACCAATCATAGAAACTGAGAAATCATCCCTTCAAAACTAACAAAGTCTCAACATTTTCTTGATCTTGCAGACTTATAGTCCAGATTCTTTGCAGCTACGTTACTCTTCCTTTATATGCTCTTGTTACTCAAGTAAGACCCCACACACAAAAACACATAAAGATTGAAACTTTCCAATTTCAAAATCTGATTTTTTTGAATCTTAGATGACACACACACACACAAAACACATAAAGATTGAAACTTTTTAATTTCAAAATCTGACATTTTTGAGTTTTGATTTAATTTTGGTGAAGATGGGTTCAAAGATGAAGCCAACAGTATTCAACGAGAGAGTAGCAACAGCATTAAAGAGTTGGCATCACACAGCTAAGAAACAGATTAAACATGGAAGAACTTCAGAATCAACAACACCTTTCTCTAGCCGACCAACAACACCAACACATGGTTCTTCTCCGATTCATCTTCTCCGCAATGCCCCTCACAAACGAAGCAGAAGCGTCGACGAAAGCTTCGCGAATTCGATGTCTCCAAGAAACTCTGATTTCGATTCATGGGATCCTGAATCTCAACACGAAGCAGCTGAGACTTCGAATTCAAATCATTGTTCTAGGGTTAGAGAAGAAGAGTCGGAGAAAAAGTTTGTTTCTTCATCATCTGTGGAACTTCCTCCAGGACCTGGACAAATACGAACACAGCATGAGATTAGTACTATAAGCTTAAGAGATTTTTCGTTTAAACGATGATTTTATATTTCCTTAATTGATGATTTGTTAATACGAAAACAGTTGTTGTACATTTTCAACATTATACATAAATATTACTTTTTGTGGTAATAAAAATTTCAGCTTTATACATATTCTTTTCATTTTACATATTTGTTGATCACTTCTCTATGAGACTCTGAAACCTAATTTCTCATTCTCAATGTAGAGCCTGCATATTGTTTATAATTTGAGCCTTGAGGTATCTGTTAAAAAGTCTATGCAGATTCATGGGTAGTTGGGGAAGAGTGGGTCCTTCTTGATAGATTTGTTTGCCATGGCTGAGTTTGAGAGTCTGTGAAAGATGTGATATCAGAAGTAGAAAGCATGCAAGGTGTTTGATAAAATGCCTGAGTGAGAATTGGTTTCCTGAAACACAGTGGTTTCTGGGTATAAAGATAGATTGGATTGGCGAGGATGGTATTAGACATGGTTTGTAGAATCTGAAGCCTGGTGTTATCACCATTGTTGCTTTGAGTGACAAGGTGATTAGGGATCTCTTGTCAATGCCTTCAAGGATTTGCTAGACAGCTCTTTAATGGTATGCTATTCATGGGGTTCGATGATTGACGGGGTATGTGCAGAAGGAGAATTCTAAAGATGCAATTTTGTAACTTTATGGTTTGCATCCTTTGTGCTTACGTCAACGACCAGGACCTGGTGGCCAGGACCCTTGTATCTTGGACACAATGATATTTAAAATTAGATACATTTTCATTGGTTATGGGATCAACAAATGAAAATAGTCTGTTCGTTACATATTTTGATGCATATTTTCATTGGTTATGGGATCAACAAGTTGAGGACCTGAAAATGACACAAATGTTTCAATATGAGGTCAACCGTTGCATGGTTGATTGGGTAAAAGGTTGGAATTCTTTGGAGCCAACTGGTAAACAGAAGCATTTCGTTTACTTAATTCTGTATTATAAAACAAGGTCTAAGTTGACCGTGAATTAAGTGATGCAGTATCTTGGAAGATGGGTGAGCCTGTGGTCAACATTGTTCAGAGGTGCTTGAGAATCTTTCTCATAAGTTCTGGAGCTTGTTTTCTTGGCTCACTTTCTCGTGTTTACATGTTCCTTTCTTATACTAATCTGAAAGAGATTGTTTTTGGAGACACAAGAACAAACATGGGAAAGATGAGGTTTTTCTTTGCGTGTTTGCTCTTGTTTACCATGCTCTTAAGTTTTACCTACGCAGCTATAACAACAGAAAGTCCTTTGTCAATAGGACAAACTCTCAGCTCTTCTAATAATGTTTATGAATTGGGGTTCTTCAGTCCTAATAACTCCCAGAGTTTGTATGTTGGAATCTGGTTCAAGGGTATCATTCCTCGGGTGGTTGTGTGGGTGGCCAATAGAGAAAATCCTGTTACAGACTCTACGGCAAATCTAGCTATCGGCAGCAATGGAAGTCTTCTCTTATCTAATGGCAAACATGGCGTTATCTGGTCCATTGGAGAAACTTTTGCATCTAACGGGTCTCGTGCAGAGCTTTCAGACAGCGGAGATCTTTTCCTCATAGACAATGCTTCAAGGAGAACTCTATGGCAAAGCTTTGAGCATCTTGGTGATACTATGCTACCTTACTCCTCATTGATGTATAACCTAGCCACTGGTGAGAAGCGGGTGTTGACTTCTTGGAAAAGTTACACTGATCCATCACCTGGTGAATTTGTGGGTCAGATTACACCGCAAGTGCCATCACAGGGGTTTATTATGAGAGGCTCGAAGCCTTATTGGAGAAGCGGTCCATGGGCTAAAACAAGGTTCACTGGCCTACCACTAACGGATGAATCATACAGAAATCCATTTAGCCTTCAGCAGGATGCAAACGGGTCAGGATACTTTTCTCATTTACAAAGAAACTACAATCGTCCATTTGTAGTATTAACATCAGAGGGATCACTGAAGCTTACTCAGCATAATGGCACGGACTGGGTATTGAGCTTTGAGGTTCCAGCTAACTCCTGCGATTTTTACGGTATATGTGGACCTTTTGGGTTGTGTGTAATGTCCATTCCTCCAAAGTGTAAATGTTTTAAAGGTTTTGTACCTCAATACAGTGAGGAATGGAAAAGAGGAAACTGGACTGGTGGCTGTATGAGGCGTACTGAACTCCATTGTCAAGGAAACTCTACTAGCAAAGATGTAAACGTCTTATATCCTGTTGCCAACATAAAGCCTCCAGACTTTTACGAATTTGTGTACTCAGGGAGTGCAGAAGAATGCTACCAAAGTTGCCTCCACAATTGTTCGTGCTTGGCTGTATCTTATATTCATGGAATAGGCTGCTTAATGTGGAGCCAGGAACTAATGGATGTAGTGCAATTCTCTGCGGGAGGAGAGCTTCTTTTCATTCGTCTTGCACGTTCTGAAATGGGTATGCCTTGAAAAAATAACATCCAAGAGCTTTGTCATTTACAACTTTGTCTTCATATTCACTGATCAGCGTGGCTTGTTTGTTTCTTTTTTCTTATATATCTCAGGTGGAAACTCGCGCAAGAAGACCATTACTGCTAGTATTGTCAGCCTTTCTCTTTTTGTGATACTGGGTTCTTCTGCGTTTGGTTTCTGGAGATACAGATTGAAACATAATGGTAACTCATTGATGACCTTACTATTTCTACATCAATCTTTTGTTGTTATCTTTTCATTTTCTTGGTAACCGAATGACTAATTAGAAAGACCCCCAAAGCGCTTCGAATTATTGATATGCAACATAAAAGCAAAAGAGTTTTTCCACGACATCTTTATATATGCATCAATTCTTGTAGTCTTATCTTGAGTTGTGGTATCGTTATCATTTGGTGGAATTCCACTAAATAGACTAATGCAAACATGTCCTAGAGACCATGATCTATTCTTTCTGTACCTTGGTTTCCGGCTTGCTTGAGAAAATTATGCTCATTTTGAGATTTGGCTTGATGGTTAAATAACTAGATGTTAAGCACTAACACATGAATTCTTGAAACTCTAGTTTCAGCTAATATATCAAAGGTTGTTTCACAAGGTGCATTGAGGAATGATCTGAAACCAGAAGATATCCCAGGTTTATATTTCTTTGAGATGAAGACCATTGAAGTTGCCACCAATAATTTCAGTCTCTTAAACAAACTCGGACAAGGTGGATTTGGTTCAGTTTACAAGGTCAGGAAATTTTATTCTCTTTGCTCTTTTCATCTCGAGAATGTTACATCAATTTCTTTACCTTGTGCAATCTATCTCAGGGAAAGCTGCAAGATGGGAAAGATATTGCTGTAAAACGTCTTTCTAGCAGCTCCAGACAGGGCAAAGAGGAGTTCATGAATGAAATAGTACTCATCTCAAAACTCCAACACAGAAACTTGGTTCGGATTTTGGGATGTTGCATTGAAGGAGACGAACGGCTATTGATTTATGAATTCATGGTGAACAAGAGCCTTGATACTTTTATCTTTGGTGGGTTCCTTCTTGCCTATTTCCCTTTTTATTAGCAGCTTTAATACTACATGGAACTGTCTTATCTGAAAGTTTCTACACTGTTTTTTTGTGTAGATTCAAGAAAAAGGCTTGAGATTGATTGGCCTAAGAGATTCAATATCATTCAAGGTATTGCGCGTGGACTTCTCTATCTCCACCGTGACTCACGCCTCAGGGTTATTCACCGAGATCTGAAGGTTAGCAATATTCTTCTCGATGAAAAAATGAACCCGAAAATATCAGACTTTGGATTGGCTCGGATGTATCAAGGAACCCAATATCTGGACAAAACTCGCAGGGTTGTAGGAACTCTGTAAGAACCATTCTTCGAAAACATGCTTATCTAGGATTTATAGTTATAGTGATATATTAACTTGGGAAACTATCTAATATATGTGCAGAGGATATATGTCTCCTGAGTATGCATGGACTGGAGTTTTCTCTGAGAAGTCTGACACCTATAGCTTCGGAGTTCTTTTGTTAGAAATTATCAGTGGAGAGAAGATCTCAAGGTTTAGCGATGATGAAGAGTGCAAAAGCCTTCTTGCATATGTAAGTAAGACTTTAGATATAGAAACTTGTACTTGATCTCCATCAAGTGCAGAGATTTCACTGCCCGTTTTACAATGTTTCTTGGTCTTATATTTTCTTGTTCTGGATCCAAAACAGGCGTGGGAATCTTGGTGCGGAAATGGAGGAGTTGATTTTTTGGATAAAAATGTGGCTGATTCATGTAACCCATCTGAAGTTGGAAGGTGTGTTCAAATTGGTCTGCTTTGTGTTCAACACCAACCTGTAGAGAGACCCAACACACTTGAGTTGTTGTCTATGCTCACCACAACATCAGATCTTCCACCACCAAAAGAACCCACATTTGCAGTCCATACTAGCGATGACGGATCCCGTGCTAATGATTTGATTACCGTCAATGAGGTGACACAATCTGTGGTGCTAGGGCGTTAAGAACAACGCTTTACCTTAATTAAAATGATCAAAATCGTTCAATGTGTTGTAACTTGTACATACATTCATTTTCAATTAAATCTTTTGTTTCTGTTAATGCCTAAAGGGACTGTATATTGTTGAGTTCTGGTTTTGAGGCTTTACTTTATGTCTGTCTTCTATTGGGTCTTGGCATTTATGCTCTCGCTGGTGGCACTGACACAGCCAAACGTTTCTGTTTAAATTGGCGATTTTGAGTAGAAGCACGCGATGTAAGTGTTCAGTGAAATGCATGCACAAGACTTAAGGTTTCAAAGGCTGGAAAATCCAAGAATCCCAGCTCTTTCCAAGTCCAAGTAGATTTATAATTCTCTTGAGAAGCTGAATCATAATCTTTTTACTTTGTCTTGAATTGCTCTTTGATTTTGCTTTAGGATGTTAGCTAACACTTCTCCTCTTTGTACACCCTTTTCCCTGTGAATTTTCTGAGCTACAGTTTCATTTTTTTCATTTGTAGCATATTGAGGATTTAACACAAGAAAAGTTTTCGCTGCAAAGGGATCTTGATGCTTCACATGCACTGGCAGAATCCTTAGCATCAGAAAATTCTTCGATGACAGACACTTATAACCAGCAGCAGGTACATGCAAGCTTATGGCATCCTAGTTGGATACTGTCCAACTCTTATTTTTGTACTAGAAAACAATCTTGACCATTTATAGTAGTTGAGACATCATCCCTTCAAAACTAACAAAGTCACAACCTTTTTGTTGATCTTGCAGACTTATAGTCCAGATTCTTTGCGGCTACGTTACTCTTCCTCTATATGCTCTTGTTACTCACACACAAAAACACATAAAAGATTGAAACTTTCAATTTCAAAATCTGATTTTTTTGAATCTTGTTGAACTTTTAGTCAAGTTTGGTTCAAAGATGACACACACACACTGACACACACACACAAACACATAAGATTGAAACTTTTCAATTTCAAAATCAAACATTTTTAAATCTTGATTCAATTTTTGGCGAAGATGAAACCAACAGTGTTCAACGAGAGAGTAGCAACAGCGTTAAAGAGTTGGCATCACACAGCTAAGAAACAGATCAAACATGGAAGAACTTCAGAATCAACAACACCTTTCTCTATCCGACCAACAACACCAACACATGGTTCTTCTCCGATTCATCTTCTCCGAAATGCCCCTCACAAACGAAGCAGAAGCGTCGACGAAAGCTTTGCGAATTCGATGTCACCAAGAAACTCTGATTTCGATTCATGGGATCCTGAATCTCAACACGAAACTGCCGAGACTTCGAATCATCGTTCTAGGTTTGGAGAAGAAAAATCGGAGAAAAAGTTTGTTTCTTCATCATCAGTGGAACTTCCTCCAGGATCTGGACAAATACGAACACAACATGAGTTAAATATTTTCAGATTTATTAATGATGCTGCTTTGGTTCACTTCTCTATAAGAGACTTGAGCCCTGAAGCATTATTTTCTCAATGTAAAACTATGGAGATTTTGGATTCTAAGACTATGGAGATTCATGGGAAGTTGTTGAAGTGTGGGTTCTTGTCTTTGGGTTTGTTCGCCATGTCTGGGTTTGAGAGTTTGCGGAAGATGTGTTAGCTGCCAGATGGAGAAAGCATGCAAGGTGTTTGATAAAATGCCTGAGTTAGACTTGGTTTCCTGAAATACACTTGTTTCTGGGTATAATGATAGTTTGGATTGGCGAGTATGGTTTGTAGAATCTGAAGACTGGTTTTATCACCATTGTTTTTTTAGTATTGACAAGGTGATTAGGGTTCTCTTGTGAATGCCTTTGCAATTTGCTAGACAGCTCTTTGGTGGAATGTTATTCATGGGGTTCGATGATTGACGGAATTCGTAACTGTATGCCGGACAAAGGGTTGAAAGCCAGATAATTGGTGCTTTGCATCCCTGTGCTTACGCAGGTGACCAAGACCTGGTGGCCTAGCCAGGACCGTTGTAGTGTGGAATACCAGATGGCAGATACGTTGTATTGGGGTAAAAAAAGGTCAGTGGTACAATTCTCGTGTTTGAAAATGAATGGTAGTGGTGATGACTATTTTTCATTGGTTGTGGCCTCAATGAGTTGAGAAGGACCTGAAAGTAATAGGTCAACCGTTGCATGGTTGATTGAGTAAACATAAGCATTTCACTTTTCTAGAATCTGTATTATAAAACTAGGTTTTAAGTTGATCGTGAATAAAGTAATACATAATCTTGGAAAATGGGTGTTGTGTAGTCAACATTGGTTAGAGGTGGTTTCATTTTCTATTCAGCACTTGACTTTGTTTTATTTGCTTACTTTTCTCTTGTATTCATGTTCTCTTCCTACAATAATCTGAGGAGATTGTTCTTGGACATTGGGGATGACGAGGTTTGCTTGCTTTCTCTTGTTTACCTTGCTCTTAAGTTTTAGCTATGCAGCTATAACGCCAACAAGTCCTTTGTCAACTGGACAAACTCTCAGCTCCCCTAATGGAGTTTTTGAACTGGGGTTTTTCAGTCCTAATAACTCTCAGAACTTGTATGTTGGAATCTGGTTCAAGGGTATCCTTCCCCGGACAGTTGTGTGGGTGGCCAATAGAGAAAATCCTGTTACAGACTCCACGGCGAATCTAGCTATCAGTAGCAATGGAAGTCTTCTCTTATTTGATGGCAAACATGGCATTGTCTGGTCCATTGGAGAAATTTTTGCATCTAACGGGTCTCGTGCAGAGCTTTCAGACAGCGGAAATCTTTTAATCATAGAAAAAGTTTCGGGAATAACTCTATGGCAAAGCTTTGAGCATCTTGGTAATACTATGCTACCTTACTCCTCCCTGATGTATAACCCTGCCACTGGTGAGAAGCGGGTATTGTCTTCCTGGAAAAGTTACACCGATCCATCGCCTGGTGAGTTTGTAGATCATATTACAACGCAAGTGCCACCACAAGGGTTTATTATGAGAGGCTCGAAGCCTTATTGGAGAAGCGGTCCATGGGCTAAAACAAGGTTTACTGGCGTACCACTAACGGATGAATCATACACACATCCATCCATTTAGCGTTCAGCAGGATGCAAACGGGTCAGTATACTTCTCTCATTTACAAAGAAACTTCAAACGTTCATTTTTAGTATTAACATCAGAGGGGTCACTGAAGGTTACTCATCATAATGGCACAGACTGGGTATTGAACATTGATGTTCCAGCTAACACATGTGATTTTTACGGTGCATGTGGACCTTTTGGATTGTGTGTAATGTCCATTCCTCCAAAGTGTAAATGCTTTAAAGGTTTTGTACCACAATTCAGTGAGGAATGGAAAAGAGAGAATTGGACTGGTGGTTGTGTGAGGCGTACTGAACTACATTGTCAAGGAAACTCTACTGGGAAACATGTAAACGTCTTCCATCCTGTTGCCAACATAAAACCTCCAGACTTTTACGAATTTGTGTCCTCTGGGAGTGCAGAAGAATGCTACCAAAGTTGCCTCCACAATTGTTCGTGCTTGGCTGTATCTTATATTCATGGAATAGGCTGCTTAATGTGGAGCCAGGAACTAATGGATGTAGTGCAATTCTCTGCGGGAGGAGAGCTTCTTTTCATTCGTCTTGCACGTTCTGAAATGGGTATGCCTTGAAAAAATAACATCCAAGAGCTTTGTCATTTACAACTTTGTCTTCATATTCACTGATCAGCGTGGCTTGTTTGTTTCTTTTTTCTTATATATCTCAGGTGGAAACAAGCGCAAGAAGACCATTACTGCTAGTATTGTTAGCATTTCTGTTTTTGTGACATTGGCTTCTGCTGCGTTTGGTTTCTGGAGATACAGATTGAAACATAATGGTAACACATTGATGACTTTACTATCTCTATATCAAACATACTGTTATAATAGTATGCTCACTTTGAGCTTTTGCTTGATGGTTAAATACCTAAATGTTAAGCATTAACACATGAATTCTTGAAACTCTAATTTCAGCAATTGCATCAAAGGTTTCTTTACAAGGTGTATGGAGGAATGATTTGAAATCAGAAGATGTCTCAGGTTTATATTTCTTTGAGATGAAGACCATTGAAATTGCCACCAATAATTTCAGTCTCGTAAACAAACTCGGACAAGGTGGATTTGGTCCAGTTTACAAGGTCAGATAATTTTTTATTCTCTTTATTCATTTTATCTCAAGAAATTTATAGCAATCTCTTTACCTTGTGCAATCTGTCTCAGGGAAAGCTACAAGATGGGAAAGAAATTGCTGTAAAACGTCTTTCTAGCAGCTCCGGACAGGGCAAAGAGGAGTTCATGAATGAAATAGTACTCATCTCCAAGTTACAACACATAAACTTGGTTCGGATTTTAGGATGTTGCATTGAAGGAGAAGAGCGGCTATTGATTTATGAGTTCATGGTGAACAAAAGCCTTGATACTTTTATCTTTGGTGTGTTATTTTTCCTTTTCTATTAGCAGCTTTTCTCTATAGAACTGTTTTTTGATAGTGTTTACAATCTATAGATTCAAGAAAAAGGCTTGAGATTGATTGGCCTAAGAGATTCAGTATTATTCAAGGGATTGCGCGTGGACTTCTTTACCTTCACCGTGACTCACGTCTCAGAGTAATTCACCGAGATGTGAAGGTTAGCAATATTCTTCTTGACGAAAAAATGAACCCGAAAATATCAGATTTTGGATTGGCTCGGATGTATGAAGGAACCAAATATCAGGACAACACTCGCAGGATTGTAGGAACTCTGTAAGAACCATTTTTCGAAAACATGCTTAAGTAGGATTCATAGTTATATTGATATATTAACTCGGGAACTATTTAATATATGTGCAGAGGATATATGTCTCCTGAGTATGCATGGACTGGAGTTTTCTCTGAGAAGTCCGACACCTACAGCTTTGGAGTTGTTTTGTTAGAAGTTATCAGCGGAGAGAAGATCTCAAGATTCAGTTATGATAAAGAGTGCAAAAGCCTTCTTGCATATGTGAGTAAAACTTTAGGTTTAGAATCTCGGACTTATGCAGAGATTTCACTACCTTATATTTTCTTGTTCTGAATCCACAACAGGCGTGGGAATCATGGTGCGAAAATGGAGGAGTTGATTTTTTGGATAAAGATGTTGCTGATTCATGTCACCCATCTGAAGTTGGAAGGTGTGTTCAAATTGGTCTGCTTTGTGTTCAACACCAACCTGTAGAGAGACCCAACACACTTGAGTTGTTGTCTATGCTCACCACAACATCAGATCTTCCAACACCAAAAGAACCCACATTTGCAGTGCATACTAGCAATGACGGATCCCGCACTAGTGATTTGATTACCGTCAATGAGGTGACACAATCTGTGGTGCTTGGGCGTTAAGAACGATGACACGTTATCTCATCTCAACTAAACTGATAAAATTTTCAATGTTGTAACTTCAACTTCATATTAATTCATTTCAAATAAAGTGTTTTAGTTAGTATCCTTTTTACTTTTCTTTTAATGCCTAAAGGACTATATATTGTTGAATCTACGCCTTTAGGCCTTACTTAATGTCATCTTCTTTGCGTCTTGACATTGACACACACCACTGCTTTAAAACTGGGGTCAGACTGTGAAAGGTAAGTGGTACTATTCTCATATTTTAAATGAATCAGAGTGGTGATGCATATTTTGTTTTCATTGGTTATGGGCTCAACGAGTTGAGAAGGACCTGAAAATAACACAATGCTTCAATAATAGGTCAACCGTTGCATGGTTGATTGCGTAAAAGGCTGGAATTCTTTGGAGCCAACTTGAAACATAAGTATTTCATTTTACTTAAATCTGTATTATAAAACAAGGTTTAAGTTGATCATGAATAATGTAATGCAGAATCATGGAAAATGGGTGCTCTGTGGTCAACATTGGTTAGAAGCGCTTGAGAATAAATTTCAATTAAGTACTTGATTTTGTTTTCTTAGCTTACTTTCTCTTGCTACAATAATCTGAAGGAGATTGTTCTTGGAGACCGAAGAGAGCACATGGGGATGACGAGGTTTGCTTGTTTTCTCTTGTTTACCTTGCTCTTAAGTTTTAGCTATGCAGCTATAACGCCAATGAATCCTTTGTCATTAGGACAAACTCTCAGCTCCTCTAATGAGGTTTATGAATTGGGGTTCTTCAGTCCTAATAAGTCCCATAATCAGTATGTTGGAATCTGGTTCAAGGATACCATTCCTCGGGTCGTTGTGTGGGTGGCCAATAGAGAGAAGCCCGTTACAGACTCCACGGCAAATCTAGCTATAAGCAGAAATGGAAGTCTTCTGTTATTTAATGGGAAGCATGGCATTGTGTGGTCCAGTGGAGTAGCTTTTGCTTCTAGCGGGTGTCGTGCAGAGATTTTAGACAGCGGAAATCTAGTTGTCATAGATATTGTTTCGGGAAGAACTCTATGGCAAAGCTTTGAGCATCTTGGTGATACTATGCTACATTCCTCATCCCTGATGTATAACCTTGCCACCAATGAGAAGCGGGTGTTGACTTCTTGGAAAAGTTACACTGATCCATCAGCTGGCGACTTTGTGGGTGAGATTACATCGCAGGTGCCATCACAGGGGTTTATTAGGAGAGGCTCGACGCCTTACTGGAGAAGCGGTCCATGGGCTAAAACAAGGTTCACTGGCCTACCTGTAATGGATGGATCATTCACAGATCCATTCAGCCTACACCAGGATGTAAACGGGTCAGGATACTTGTCTTATTTTCAAAGAAACTACAGACTTACACGATTAATTTTAACATCAGAGGGATCAATTAAGATTTTTCGGCATAATGGAAAGGACTGGGAACCTTACTTTGAAGTTCCGGCGAATTCATGCGATATTTACGGTGTATGTGGACTATTCGGGCTGTGTGTTGCGTCAGTACCTCCAAAGTGTAAATGCTTCAAAGGGTTTGTTCCTAAATCCATTGAGGAGTGGAAAAGAGGAAACTGGACTAGTGGTTGCGTGAGGCGTACTGAATCACATTGTCAAGGAAACTCTACTAGCAAAGACGTCTTCTATCCTGTTGCCAACATAAAGCCTCCAGACTTTTACGAATTTACAGATTCTGTGGATACTGAAGAATGTTACCAAAGTTGCCTCCACAATTGTTCCTGCTTGGCCTTTTCTTATATTCATGGAATAGGGTGCTTAGTGTGGAACCAGGATTTAATGGACACAGTGCAATTTCCTGCCGGAGGAGAACTTCTTTCCATTCGTCTTGCACATTCTGAACTAGGTGTGGCAAAAAAGCTCGTCAATTACAGCCTTTCTTCCACTCCAATGATAGTGTTCTCTTTAGTAGTAGCATGGCTTATTGTTTATTTTTGTTTATAAATCTCAGATGGAAATAACCGCAAAAAGACCATTGCTGCTAGTATTGTGAGCCTTTCTCTTTTTGTTATATTGAGTTCTGCTGCGTTTGGTTTCTGGAGATACAGAGTGAAACATAATGGTAAAACTCTGTTGACTTTACGATATCTGCGTTTGGTTTCTGCTACATATGTTACGAATTATAGATAACTAGTTCATTCACTACATCAAACCTACTACACTAAGTAGAGACACACATATATTGTTCTTTTAATCACCATATATTCTTGTTGGTACCTTGGTTTCGGTTTGCTTTAAAAAATCGTGATATGCTCACTTGGCTAAGTTACTATATGTTAAGCATTAACACAGATTTCAGCTCATATATCAAAGGATGCATGGAGGAATGATCTGAAACCACAAGATGTATCAGGCTTAGATTTCTATGAGATGAATACCATTCAAACTGCCACCAATAATTTCGGTCTATCAAACAAACTCGGACAAGGTGGATTTGGTTCAGTTTACAAGGTCAGCAAATTTTATCCTTTATTTTCTCCAATCATGTTCTCGAGACAACATTTGCTACTTATTTCAGGGAAAGCTGCAAGATGGGAGAGAAATTGCAGTAAAACGGCTTTCTAGCAGCTCCAGACAGGGCAAAGAGGAGTTCATGAATGAATTAGTACTCATCTCAAAACTCCAACACAGAAACTTAGTCCGGATTTTGGGATGTTGCATTGAAGGAGAAGAGAAGCTATTAATTTATGAGTTCATGGTGAACAAAAGCCTTGATAACTTTATCTTTGGTCAGTTCCTTCCTGCCTCTTTCGTTTTCGAATAGTATCTTTTCTCTCTATTGGGAATTACTGATCTGAAAGTGTTTACACTATATTATTGTGCAGATTCAAGAAAGAAGCTTGAGATTGATTGGCCACAGAGATTTTACATCATTCAAGGTATTGCGCGTGGAATTCTATATCTCCACCGGGACTCCCGCCTCAGAGTTATTCACCGAGATCTGAAGGTCAGCAATGTTCTGTTAGACGAGAAAATGGACCCTAAAATATCAGATTTTGGGTTGGCTCGGATATATCAAGGAACCCAATATCAAGAAAACACTTGCAGGGTTGTTGGAACGCTGTAAGAATTTGTCTTCATATACATGCTTAACAAGGTTTCATAATTATAATGATACATTGAATCTGGAGGGAAACTACTTGATATGTGCAGAGGATATATGGCTCCTGAGTATGCTTGGACTGGGATGTTCTCTGAGAAGTCCGACATCTACAGCTTCGGAGTTTTGCTGTTAGAAATCATAAGCGGAGAGAAGATTTCAAGATTCAGCTATGGCGAAGAAGGAAAAACCCTTCTTGCCTATGTAAGTAAAAACGTTTCTAAAATTCTTTACCAAGTGCAGAGATTTTACTACTAAGTTTTTTAACGTTTCCTGCTCTTATTTTGAAACCACAATAGGCGTGGGAGTCTTGGTGTGAAAATGGAGGAGTTGATCTTTTGGACCAAGTTCTTGCTGATTCTTGTCACCCGGCTGAAGTTGGAAGATGTGTTCAGATTGGTCTGCTCTGTGTTCAGCACCAACCTGCTGATAGACCCAACACACTTGAGTTGCTGTCTATGCTCACCACAACATTAGATCTTCCGTCACCAAAACAACCCACATTTGTAGTACACAGAAGAGATGACGAGTCACCGTCTAAGGATTTGATTACTACTATTAATGGGATGACACAATCAGGTATCTTAGGGCGTTAAGAACAACCGCTAATCCAAATTAAAGTGATCAAATTATGTTGGTAGCTTCATCATCTAATACATTCTTCATTTACATTTTCAAACAGAGTTGTTAAAAAATTAAAGTGCTTCTGTTAATGCCCAAAGGACTGACTACTAATGTCGTCTTCTCTTGCGTCTTGGCATTTATGTCCCCGCTGGTGATAACGATACTGAGACCAATTATACCCGTTTATATTACTCGTATCATTTCAAATTAGCTAATACCATTTGAAAATGAAACAGAGATCCTCAAATAAGCTTTACCGTAACAGTGAAACCCCACTTGTTTCTGCAACTTTGATCATCGCATCAATGAGAAAACCCAACCTAATGTACAATAGACAGACAAACACTAACAGTTTATCTTGTTTTAGCTTTTCTCATGAATGTAAAGAGAACCGTATCTTATAATTTATGCAACAGAAAAAGGTGTTTTCAAAGACATTTTGTGAGAGCATATGCATGGAAGTGAAACAATGCCAATTGCGTTCTCTAAAAACATAAACCAAAACATTCATCATAGTCACATACTAATAGAAACAAAATGACACTACCCGCATTAACTATATAAGCCATATCTTCCATCAAAGAGTAGCAGAGAGACCAGCCGCATACACCAAGTGACAAGATTTATGGACTGGAAGCACAGCATCAAACCACTCAACTTTCCCCCAAATCTCATCTCCATCACCTCTTCTTTCAAGCGAAATCTCCGCACACCAAATCACATTCTCCTGAAGTCTAGTGGAATAATACACAAACTCATCCCACAAAACCATCATCTTCCCACCAACATCCACCATTAAACAATGACAAAAATCAGGCAATCCTTCAACACCATTCAGTTTCTTCCATAACCTTGCCTTAGAATCATACCATTTAAACACCCCATCATCCCAAAAGAACAAAACTTCATCTACCACACTGTCACTAAAGGATACTGCACAAGCCATATCACTATCTAATCCTATTGTGTTACATCTACCTTCCTTAGGATCATAAACCACAAACTCATCATCCCCAAACAGATAAAACTTCCCATCAAGTCCTAAGCTTTTGATCTCACCTCCATGGCGTTTATCGATACCAGGATTCATAACAGACCCCCAAGTTTGAGTCTTTGGATCAAAAACTTCGACCCAATTAGAGAAATTGACATCTTCACAACCTCCTGCTACATATATCTTCCCATCAAGTGAGCTCGCTGTCAAAGAATAACTCCGGTCCACTCGCATACTTGGAGCTTGACGCCACTTATTCGACTTACAATCAAGAACAGAGACTCTACAAGAAGAGACTCTATCACCACCAAGTTTGTATATTTCCGAACCAACAGCTACGAGACACGAAGATTCTGTAGGAGGCAAATGTGGAGATGGGATTGGGACTAAAAGATTGCCACGGTTTGGTGTTCGACAAAGAGTGAACCAATATGTGTTTGGGTCTAAAGGGAAACGTAAGCAGAGATAGAGACAACTCTCTGTACGATTTATGAGTGAACGTGTCTCGTAAAGCTCCGGTGAAGCAATGACGGATTTGAATGTTTTGGAGACGAGGGAGAGAGTTGGGTAATGTAATTTGGAAACTCGTGCTAAGCAATTTAATAGGAGATCGTAAGGAAGTGATAAAAGCATCGAGGTAGGTTCTGTCTCCGGAGACGGAGACGGTTTCTTCTTACGCAAGGCGTTCGTGGAGGCGGAAAATCTTGTTCTGGACGACAATGTTGTGTGGGGAATTTGCTGCAAAAGACTTAAATGGGCGCCGGGTTGGGTCGGTTCGGGTCGATCGGGTCGGGTCGGTCGGGTCGGGTGCTCAAAACCAAAGCTTGGGCTTTTATCCACTGCTATAGATTATAGAAGATCCGTGATGGGCTTTCTTTATTTGTGAAAAAATTTAATTGGATTTTCGAACTTTTTACTTGTATTTATAGTTATGGTGTGATTGATTCAAACGAGTTAAAATGCATAATTTTGGTAATGAAATAGAGGATCTTCAAATTGTTTTAGTGACAATTTCTTTGTTGGTTCGCTACACGACAATGTCCAATGGACTATACTATAGACTAAGTGACTCACTAACACTTAACCATGTTGTCTTGTTTTAGTTATGCTGGAGAATCATGTCACAAGAACCGTACCCTTTAATTTATGCAACACAACAAAAGTGTTATCAAAGGACATTTAGTCAAAAAATAAGTTAGCTCGTCTAAGTAAACGCATATGTTTAGAAGTTTTAAAAAATGCAAAATTGCATTTCACTAAAATACCATGAAAAATCCTTCATCATAGTCATATACTAAAAGAAAAGAAACACACAAAAAGAAAAAGCAAATATTCAAAACAAAATGAAAATATCCGCATAAGCCGTTCGAGCCTAATATCATGAGAGTAGCCCATTACATCAAACAACAGCGGAAATAGCATCTGCATAGAGCAAGGAACAAGATCAAACCACTCAACCTTCCCCCAAATCTCATCTCCATCGCGTCTTTCAAGGCTAATCTCAGCACACCAAATCCTATTAATTTCCTTATCGGTCAGACACACTTCCCACAAAACAGCTATCTTTCCACCAAGATCTACCATTTTAACATACTCACGGTCGCGTAAATCAGGCAACCCTTCAACACCGTTCAGTTCCTTCCATAAACTTACCTTAAAGTCATACCATTTGAACACCCCTTATCCCAAATCAACAAGACGTTGTCTACCACGCAAGAACTAGAGTTTATGGGAGACCTAGAGTCTATTGCACGATACAGATTATACTTATCCATGCGGCCTATATCGTACCATCTATCTTCCTCAAAATTGTAAACCACAAACTCACTTCCAAACATGTATAATTTTCCATCAAGACCTAAGCTTTTGACTACACTTGTATATCCAATATCATTTTGATACTCGATGCTTGGGTTCTTCAAAGTGCCCCAAGTTTGAGTCTTTGGATCAAACACTTCCATCCAGTACAAGGAACAGATGTCGTCTTTACAGCCTCCTGCTACATATATCTTCCCATCAACTTCGCATACTGTGGAGGAAGAGCTCCGGGCCACTCGCATACCTGGAGCATGACGCCACCTGTGACTCCGACAATCCAGGACTGAGACAGAAGAAGAATAGCGCGTCTTCCAGAATTTGTATCTATAAGATTTAGCGCCGCCGATTTTGTAGATATTAGAACCAACGGCTATGACACTCGACGACTGTGCAGGAAGCAAACAATTGGGAGATGGAACTTGGACCAGAAGATAGCCACTTGACTTGTCAGCTACGTTTCCATTAGGTTTCCGGTACAGAGTGACCCAATAAGTGTTAGTGTCGGAAGGGAAGTGTAAGCAAAGATAGAGACACTTCTCCGTACGGCTTAAGCGTGATCGGGTCTCGTAAAGCTCCGATGAATAAACAATGGATCGGAAAGTTTTGGAAACGAGGGAGAGAGTTGGATAGTACAATCTAGAGACGCGTGCAAAGCAGTTGAACAACAAGTCATAAGGAAGTGACATGATCGATGATGGTTCTTCTGTCACCGGAGACGGAGACGGAGATGGCATCTTCTTCTTTCTTTTACGGACTCGTGTCTCTCCCTTCACGGGGGCTGAAGATCTGGCTTTGGACGACATTAGGGCAAAACTTACTGAAATAAAATATCACAGGAGAAGAATAAAAGGAATTTTAGGATTTCCCATGATTCCAGAGTTATCGGACACGTGAGCTTTACGTATTCAGAAAAATCAACCATTATTTAGGCCTATAGGCCCAAACTTAGCACGTAAATAATGGGCCCAATGGAAATTTTTTTGAATGGCTCAATATCTATGTATATATATACATTTTTGCAACACTTTATGAAATAAATCTTCAAGTTGTAATTTATTTACAAAGAATATCATTGATATTAATTATTATCAATTAATTAAGATTCTTAATTACTAGCTTTTCTTTATCTAATACTCCCTCCGTTTTCGAATAGTTGTCGTTTTAACTATATGCACACAAATTAAGAAATTATTAATGTTCTTAGTTTTTCAATATAAAAATATCATTAATTATCTACCTAAACATAATTTAACCAATAGTAAATCAAGTTGCATAATAAAAATAAATATAAAAAAATAAAAAAGTAATAAATTTTGCATTGAAAACTGAAAACGACAACTAATTAAAAACAAAAAAATTTCTCTATAACGACAACTATTCGAAAACGGAGGGAGTACTAGATATGGACCCGTGCGTTGCACGGGTTGCCGGTCGAGATTATCATTCTTAATATTTTATTTTATTTTTGTAAGTTTAACTAAAATTCTATAAAATATTATTTATAGTTATGTTATAATAATTATTAAATGATCTAATATAAATATTGACCTATTTATAAAATTATATAATTTAATGATCATTGACCTTCTCTCCCTCTTGTCGAATTTCTTCACCACCATATCTTTATTTTTTTTTTTTATCTCTATCTCAATTTCTCGCATTCGTCGGACATCACTACCGAGTCTCACTACTCTAACCCACCACCACAACTAAATCTCACTACTATCACAATTACCACCACCATCAATACCGAATCTCGCTAATTCCGACTCACCACCTTTATCAATATTTACCGCCGCCACCACCACCAAGCTTGAACCCCCATCATCAACACCAGCACCACCACCAAGCTTGAACCTTTATCAGTATTTTTTTATAATTGATATGATATAATATCGTTAAGAAATTAGTTTGCTTAATGAGAAAATATGAGACAATTTTTTTTCTAATTTTAAATTTTTTTCTTGTACAGGTAGTAACTTATAAATAAAACGTTTAGCATAATTTTATAATTTCGATTTTTATGGAAATATACATATAAATCTATATATAATAATATTTGAGAAGTGTTTTTGCTGACGTGTCGGACTCTCGGCTCTTGTTGAGTCATTGATTTTACGTAATTACTTAATTATCTTTAATGAAATCTAATTAATTTTGGAAAAATTAAATTGAATTTCGGAATTAACCAGGAAAAAATAATTTTGGAAACAATAAACATGATAATTAACCAAAAAAAAAAAAGGAACAACGAAGTACCAGTTAGGAAGCTTTAATTGAATTCATCGTGTTCTTCGTCGTGTGAATATAATTCTTCTAAACGAAGGCAAAACTTGAAATCCTAACATAAAACATATATTCATAGCAATAACAGAGATCTAATAATTTAGTGATAAAATTTCACCTGTTGATCTGTCGAAGCAGAATAGTCAAGCTTCTCATAGTATCTTGCCCATGTTATGTCTTTAAGACGTCAATACTATCCTGCACTCTATAATTCTAACCAATGAAAAGAACAAATATTTATTACCTTGGATACAGAGTTGACGAAGAAACCTTATCGTAAACGGCTATTAATTGTTAAACTAATTAAAATAAAGATCAAACGTACCGGAATAGATGAAATTTTTGGTATGATCGTCGTGTTCGTCGTCGTCGTTTCAATCTAAATATTTGGAAAAAAAAAACGAACAAAAAAAATAATATGTAGAATAGATGAAATTTTTGGTATGATCGTCGTGTTCGTCGTCGTCGTTTCAATCTAAATATTTGGAAAAAAAAACAAACAAAAAAAATAATATGTAGATCAATGAAAGAGAACCCACCAATTTAGAAACGGTTATCACGCCATCGTATTGTTCGTCGGATGATTATAAGTCTCTAATCCGGAGATTGACTTGAACCCTGACAAAAACATATATTCATAGCATAAAATCGTAAATAGAAGGTAGAAGACCACCTATTAATCGGTTGTAACCTTGTGCAAACTCGATTTAATTTTGACGAATGAAATGTTGGTGTGGTGTCAAAACTTTCTTGGGGAGACTCGAAGATGAGAGAGCTGAAGTCAGAGATAGGCAGAGAGGTTTACATGTGAATTAAGGTATGGAGTGCTAACGTGAACATGAACGTGAACGGTGGTGATTTTTGCACATAATAGCAATTAGATCGAGTTTTGGAAAAAAATATGGATCAGCGTGACATGACGCATATGGATACCATGCATGTCTATCTTTTGTAAATCAAAAATTATATTATTGTTCCGCCTTATTTTTGAAACAGAAAGGAATTTTTCCTTAAATTTTAATATATTTTATAAGATAGTATCAGATATAGTAGTAAATCTAAAATAGTTGTTATTATTCTATATTTTTACCGAAAAAAGTAAATATTATTTTAAATAAACATGGATAACAATGAATAAATGGCAGTTTTACAAATATTTATTATTATGATAGTGATTTGCTTATTAAAATATGTAAATTTTCTTTTCTTTTTTTGTATTTATCGTCGAAAAATTTAGAAACTCTAAATCATGCACCGCCTCCTATTCAATATAAATACCTTGCTCATGGTATTCAATTTCAGATCATAACTAACCTTTGTTTTTTTGTTCTTTTTTTTCAAACTTTTTTTTGCTTCTACCTAATTTTAATTTTTCTTTTTATTGTAGGGTGGATGTATGGAGGGGACGATGTGAACTGGTGTATGGAAAATTTGGACCTAATTCAATGAATAAACAGGTGATCTTATAGTTTATATGTACAAATTTGATTTTTTTTTTTTTTTTTGTATTTATGGTTTCACTATTTTCACCACTAATCAATTTTTATAATCAAAAAGTTTGGTTTCAACTTTTGAGAAGGTAATCATCGATGGTTTGGTATGTTTCTTTTTGTTGTAAAAAGATGAGGTACCTCCCGATTTTGTTGAGGTACATGTTCTTATTATTTTCAAATATGTCTTTTCTCAGAAGAAACACTCAACTTTTGATAACACAGTTGTCACAAAGTCAGAAAGATGACTTATTTCAGGGATGAATCTTCAGAGGAGGCTAATTTTTGTCGTTAATACAATTTAAGTATTCCTCTCTTTAGATTAGGGATAACAAACTTGGCTGTTAAATTCAGGAATTACTCTTCGTTGCCAATCTCTCTCCCCAAACTAATATATTACATATATGGAAGTAGTAACTTAAAGTTTTTGGTATCGAGGTCATTCTAAGGCACTGAGATTCGGACTTTGGTATGTATAGGATTCGTTTTCCATGCACTAAGATTTAATTATTGTTTAATTTATTGGTTTTTAGGTTTCTTTCCATGCTCTGATGCGTTTTCGGGTGTGCCAATGGAAGCTTGCATCACTTTTTACTCCAAGCGTAAGTATGCTCTGCATTAGCTTCTTCTGTTCCATTGGTTATTATAGGTTTTGACTTTTGAGAAATATACAACAATTTAAAACCAGGTTTTGTTGTTGATTGGTTCGGTTTGTATACCATATTTTGCTAAATACATATGACCATAAATAAGACCAAAGGAGCTGGGTTAGCTCCTTTGCCAGCTAGGTTGACTTCGTCTCCTCCCCGTCTTGCGGATTTCCGTTATTCAACGGGTATATTTGAGAAGTATACGGTACTAAAACCACAACCATTGATCTTAGCTTGATCGGTTCTTCCCTAGGATTTATACATAAAAGTAAATTGTTTTGTTTAATAATTTTCCATTGCATGAACTTTCGAGACAACAAGTGGACCGGAGTGTAATGTCATCAAAAGTCAAATCAAACACTGTGAGGAACATATTAGACAACGTTGGCTTCTTTCGCAGCTGCTCAACGTTGTCTCTCCCGATGGTCCCAACACTCTCTTCTTCTTTTTTTGTCAACATTCAAACGTTGTTTAAAATAAATAAAAATGTTTAACCTTAATCATCTTTCTAGATCTTTAAATGCCTAAAATTCAACTTAATCAGTCAGCAATCCGTCACGTTAATGATTTTGAAAGGAAGACTTTTGTTTTGTTTCGGTTAGTTTTGTTTGTTTAGTATTTTAATCACAAGATAACTCTAATTTCCCATTAGAGTTGTGTTAATTGTGTTGATTATGATTTGGCGTTCCAATTCTGATATTATTTTTATGTTGTAAATCTTAAACTGTTACGTTATTGTTCTATCTTCCTATGTGAGAAAAAAGTAAAATGTTTTAAAATTTTGACATGGATAATAATATAATTGTAAATCTATAATAATTATATTATCATTTTATTTATATTTTTCAAAAAGAAATATATTTATCTTAATAGATTTAATATGATAATGTCAAATATAGTTATAAATCTAAAAGAGTTATGTTATTATCCCATCCTTTTATGAGAAAAAAGCAGATATTCTCTTAAACTTTTAAATTAACGTGGATAATAATAAATAAATGATAATTTTACTAATATGATAATGATTCGGTTTTAATCTTACCAAAAAACAAATAATGATTCTGTTTTAAAAATATATAAATTTTCTTTGTTTAGTTGTAGATATTGTCATATAAAAAAATTCTTAGATCCTCCACTGCCTTAATTTTATGTAAATACCTTGCTTGATATTTAATTTTGATTTGATATCATAACTAATCCTTGCTTTTTTTTTCGGCACTAACCATTGAATTTTTTATACTGCCATTTAATTCTTGCATAAAAAATAATAATTAATAGTAGTGTTTATTATGAATGCAGGTTTGTTTTCCATAAAAACTAGATAGGATTTATGGAAGCACGTCATTGTTTCCAGTGCGAGGAAGCAAATGTCGTATC